TGGTTGACCAAGTTTTCGGCAAGTTCCGGGGATTGGTGATCGATTCCCCTCGCAGGGCGGAAATCCAGACCCTTGGCTCCCATTGCCATCTTCAACATGTAGAATTCAGTAGGGTTCCTCAGGTTGAGGCTCCATAATTCGTTCAAAACAAACTTGAAGTGGTCGGAGATCTCAAAATAGCGGGCTTGTTGGATATCCAACAGTCCGTAAGCCTTTCGTCGGTCCTCGTCGCTCACCATCTCAAGGCCCATGGTGAATACAATGGAGATGAAAGACGCGACCAAAATTCCGGCTTTTCCAGCCATTGCCCCGATGCAATCAAGCGTATCTATCGCATATTGGTGTAGACAATCATCTGGCAGAGCTGGGATGTCGCATTCAAGAGTACTCCACTGTTCGTTTCGAAGCTGCTGGGATATTCCGATCAGAATCCAGAAACTATATGGGGCAAGCATGTTGTAATGCGCCTCCGAAAGAGTAGACAGATTCATGTAGGATTGAAGAATCTTCGTTTGCAAGGAAGATGCTGCGCAAATCAACTCGATTCCTTCAATTTTCTTCTCCGGGCTGAGAATTGGATTAAACTGGGCGTCAACCGACCAAACAATCATTCTATGATAGGTTTAGTAAGAAGAAACGTAAAAATACGGATCAAATTCTACGCACCTCTGCTGTAAAACAGCCCAATGCCACAATGCTGATAAGATGTAGTCCGCATCTTTGTTCAGCAAGGGGGTTGGGCCGTACAAAATCTTCCCCGACGGAAATTCAGTCTTGAGCCTCGCATCGACAAAGTCAAATCCTGCAGGGTTCTGGGCCCGCGAGATCGAGTTGACAACGTCGATGAGTTGGGCAAGACGTATGAGATCTTTGTCAAAGGATGGGAGATCGGACATGTTCGACGTGGTGCGTTCGATGTAGTCGGAGGCATCTGTCATCCACGGCATGCAAGGATCGATATTCCCAAACAGCATCATCTGCATGTCAGTTAGTAAAATTGTGGGGAAATATGATGAAACTTTCGTTAATCACCTCAATCGCGACCAGCATAAGGGCGCAAGCCAGAGGCGCGTTCGACCATATCACTGAACGGCTCTGCATCTGTTCACAACAAGCAGCTCTCTGCTTTGCGGCCAGTTCTTGGAACACCTCTCTTCTTTCCAAAAACCTGGGGTAGTCGTTTTGTCGGCACATGTAGATTTCGCCGATGGTTGAAACCACCTGGCTAATACCCGCATCTTTCTGGCTCAAGGCAATCATCTCCTCGCCCTGGAGGACAGAAAACTGCATGAGGGAGCCAAAGGCTTCTTCGAAGCAGGCCGTCGTGTATCTCCAGTTGTCAAGGACAATAGCCTTGCGAGGGGCAAACTGGACCACTCTCAGAGTGTCCTGCTTCGGGCTCCCTGAGGCGTATGAGCATTTCATCAGTCGCTCGGTGCAATACGAGCAGGCTTTGCCAGCACCACCATCACACTATAGTCAATCAGCACCACGAACTGCAATCTACCGATCTGGGAGAGACGTCTGGTAGGGGCAAGACATCCACACACCTTCTTGTGAGCTCTCCTGCAGGCCATGCAGCGATGGCCTCCGCGACGCCTGTCAAACTTGCCGCACAACATGATGTTACTCCGGGAAAAATAGATGCAGGATGTTAGAGCTGGTTGGATACGCGACAGGAAAGAGGGTAATATATGCCGAGATAGAGTGACATTAATCCAAATGCCGGACCCAAAACTGGAGATTGTCAGATGGGAGATATATAAGCGGGTACCGGGCTTGTGCTCCTCTACCAGCCAAGGGGAGACTTCTTGCCATTGTGAGTTACGGCCGTTTCGAATCCTCCTGATGTACGCGCTGGATATTTGGACGCATTGGGACGCCAGTACTCTTGGAGGCAGCCGCTTGACCGTCTCTGGCAACATTCGCGCGATCCCTGTTCTGAGGTGGAGTTGCGACAGCGAGAGAACCAATCGCACAACTCGAATTTGCCAGGGCAAATCAGGCTTAGCTCGGGTCAAACTTCCCTAATCGAGTTTTAGACATCAGAGTTGATTACTAAATAAGAGCGGCAACGCAACTGAGACAACACGCAGGAATCGATATATCATCAGACTCACAGGGCCGTATGTCTCAGCCCTGGCTGACTTGAAATTTCCTCTTTTGTTCTGTACGTCCCGATAAGCTAGCGAACTGGGTCTTCGGCACATCTAGAAGTAAAAAGGTAGTATGACCCGAGATCGTTGACTATGCCACGTTGATCTCGAAATAAGCTACTGCGTATAAGCTCCGCAAACTCCGCCGATATTATTAATTAAACTGGCGTTTTTGCATAGTTGACTCTAGCATGCTTTATGCATTTGAGATAGTCTTGCATGGGTTGAGGTCCCTTCGATTCGATTCGATGCTATAGGAAAAGGAGGGTTTAGGGTAGCTAGGAACTGAAGTAGAGGGCACGGGAGTTAGGTACCGATGGTGGTGCTGACATAAGCACTTCACTGATTGCATCATCCTGCTCCGGCCAATAGATCTGCACCCCGCAGGCTCATTTGCCCTCTTTACGCGCTCAAGCATCCGCCTGGATGAGAGTTGTGCACGCGACAGAGACGCAACATGTCTTCCCATGCAAGTGACGAGCACATGGAACACCTGGACCAGCAGCAAGGCGAACAATTCTACGCACTGGGGACAAAGACCGGAGGGCACGCGTCAAGCTCAGGGGATGCCGGCCCGCGGACAGCCTGCTTCAACTGCCGTGCCGTGCGACAGAAATGCGATCGTAGAATCCCCTGGTAGGTTCTTTTCTTGATTTTCTGCCCCTCCTTTCTGCATGGTCATCACAAAGCTGATAATTGGGGCAAGTTCTCGCTGTGTTTCACAAGCGAGGTCGTGTCGATATCCGAATACCTCCCACCGTGGCCGGAAACAAGGAAGCACCAAGTGAGCGCCCGCATTCATTGCCGGGGTACGTTTGATAACAGACTGACACCACCAAAGCAAACCAGAGACCGCTGAGAAACTGCTGGCGCGTATCAAGGAAAGTGCCGTCCGTGACGAGGTTATTGCCGGCCTGCTGGGTTCACAGTGGGCTCGCTCGCAAGCCCCCCTCTCACCGCGAGTCCCCTCGCCACCACTACTGGAATCTAATTCTTTCAACGGAACTCACGGTATTAGCGCGTCCACGGCAACGGCATCTGTCGTCTATGAGCCCTCTCCGGGGCAGCATAGCCGCTCTGATTTGAAGGATTCCCTCGTCTCACCTTTGCATATCTTGGCGGCCGCTGTTGCCGCCGACCCAGACCCCACATGCCACGGCCTCGGGTCTCGCCTGTCTACAACGTACCGTAGCAAGATTGGACGTAAGGACATGGTTGACCCTAAGGATGAAAGACTAGCCAGCTATTTTGGTAAATCACCCAACCCCACCCCGCCTTGATATAGGTGCATGAAACTAATGTACTTTTGTAGCTCCTCAAACGTTACATAAAAGAGACTGGCAGGTACTGGCCACCCAGTCCATCGATATGCCGTTGAAGCTCGAACCAACAACTTGCGACCCCATTACGGCAAACCTCATTGACCTCGATGACGTTGCGTACTACTTCAAATTGTATGTGTACTCCTTATCAAACTAAACAATCTATTACTCGTCTGGCGCGAGGCTAAACATGACCCACGGCGCAGGTTCTATGATGTTCGCAACCCACTTGTTGGGTTGTTGGATCCAGGTCTCCACACCCCTGAGTTCGTCTATGAAGCATCGTTCACCCTATTCTCAGTTGTCTGTGCTCTGGGGTGTGCAATTTCATCACGTCCCAGAGACCGTGTCTTGTACCCTGCTCTGATCAACATTGCCGAGGGGACCATGAAATGGTCCATTGCCACCTCTGTCAAAACCGTGGAAACCATCCAGGCGATCATCAATCTCCAATACTGGGCACCTATACGCGCCAGACAATCAGATGACCCGTATTGGCTCTACCTAAGCCATGTAAGCTTGAAGCCAGCCAGCCACCTACTGTGCAACGTTAATTCTCCTAACATGCTTCACCTTGCTAGGCTACGCAACTTGCAAGGGAAATTGGGATAAACAGCCCCAGCACTGTTGCAGAACTAGTCAACGCTGTTTCACCAAACGGAAGTCTCGAGTTTCGAGAGCAGTTGTCTCGCAACTTTGAGAGAACATGGCTGTATACGTTTATCGCGGACAAAAGCTTCGGCTTGTCGACTGGGCGTTCGCCAGGTGTACACTGGAGGGAGTTGCCACCTGCTGCTCCTGAGTGGTGGAGGAAGCCGATGACCACCAACTTGGACCAGATGGTGAGCGGTATTGCGTTGGCACGAGAACTTCTGGTGAGTCGTTGTCACAGCTGTGTTTAACTTTACGTACTGACTCTTCTATTAGTTGGAAGCCCTGGAACAGCGCAACCGGATCGACCGAACTGCACCGGCTATTCTCCATTGGCACACGCACGCCTTCGAAGCTCTCGAGTCCTCTAGGAGTAGCCGATGTACGCCAAGCGATCCGTTGTCCGCTACATTCCACTCGGTTTTGGCTTTCTATATGGATCACAACCTTCTCGTGCTGAATGCGCAAGCTTTGAGAGACTTGTCAGCGATTGACGACTCAGTAAGATCTGCCGAGTTCTCAACTATAACCCACAGAACCGTTGCTGTTGCAAATAGAGTTTTGGATCTTGTGTTACTCGATAAGACGTTCCGCGAGATGGCTCTCGGATTCCACAACAACCAATTCATCATGATATGTCATGCATCTACAGAGATTATTCATGTAAGTTTGTAGTTTCGTAACCCCGTAATTTGCTCAAACTAGACAGTATCGAGACTAACTTTAACTCTGACAGGCTGTAAGGCGAGGATGCCTGACATCAGCCGAAGCCGCCGAGGCCGCAGCCCGAGTTCGAGCCATCCCGCTCCACCTGGAGAAGACTGCGCGAAACTTCCACGCCTGCTCCGTCTCACACCTCTACATATTCCTCTCACGCTTCTTCGCCTGCCAGCTCGACAAGCTCCTCGAAGGCGACACAGGCGAGAACGAATTGGGCCGCTCCGCAGACCAGGATTTCCCGTTCGCGGAGTGGTGGGGCCTGGGCGACAACGTCTCCCTTGACACGGCGGCTTGGCTCGATATGGGGTTCCTTGGCTCTCAGCAGCCGCTCTCCGGGGCTGATGACTCCCATGTCACGGGGCCCCGGCTAGATGACTTTATGATTAATTAGGCTTGGCTGTTGTGTAGTATACCCCTGCAGAATTCCTTTCGGGGATACTGCTTCAGGAACACCGGGTTTCGGGGATACTGTTTTGGGACAATGCTTTTTTTCGGGGATAATGCGATTTTCGGGGATACTGCGTTTCCCGGGACAATGCGTTACTTGAAGGGGAAGCTGTTGTGATTGTTTTTTCACTGTTTTCTAATGTTAATAAGATCTTAGGGTTGGAGTGATGTTTTCATGGCTTAGATTCTGTGCTTTTGATATTGGAGTGACAGAGATCTGGGCATGAACCATCTATTGGACTTTTGGGTGAACCACTGCTCTAGCGAACAGGAGTTGCGGAGACATGGGCGTGAACCATCTATCAGATTTTCGGGATCATCCGCGTTTTTATTTGATATTCCAAATTTCCAATTTCATCAACTATAATAAGGTGGCTGCATAATATGATGCCAGCCTTGTTTCCTCCCAGCTGCTTACCCTGACAAGACTTTTTTCCCTTCTAGGGAAACTTGGGCACGGACCCTCGGGTCGTGATACTACATACAGACGCCCGTTCTGAAAAGAAGCTTACCGCCTCGGAAGGAACTTACCGAGAAGGATTCCCAGCACGCCCGATCCATGCCAGATATCTCATTTTCCAAATACGTCAAATTCATTGACTACCGGTGCTATGTAACGTAACGTGTACCTAAAACTCTAACGCGCTAATTTCTTGAAGATCATTGCCCAAATTCGTATTTGATTCGAGTATATAATGCAAAGTGCCGGAGATGCAAAAAACGCTAAGATGAATCGAAAAGATACTGAGCTTTAGTCTCATACATTTCTTCTTTCCCAAAATTGGAAGGACCGGGCCTAGGTTGCCGTTGTTCCCGCGCTTGTTGATGAGTCATGTGTCTATTACCATTTGAGATGGATATGCTCTCCTTGTCTAAATGTTGGGGAGATGAGGTAAAGGGTAGGTAAGTCAAAGAGCGAAGATTGACACCTGGTCCGACCCCTGGTAAAATTGCCCCTCACTTTAACATGCAGTCTTCCATGAGGTGAGGCTTTGACAGGCAGGGTCTTTTGACAGGCAGGGGTTAAGTATTCTGACGAGGGTTTAAGAGGGGTCCGTCTGCCCCTTGATTTAGGTCTAGGATGCATCAACCTCCCAAGACTTCCACAGATCTTGCGAAAGTTCACGGTGCCGTTCATATGTCTGAGGGGGTAGTTTTCCTGTCTTGTAAACTTCGTTCCGGAACGGGCCATGGTCTGGATAATGGCGTATATTAGAAAGTGGCGGTGGTGCCTGGGAACAGGGCGAGGCTTGACTTACTCTGGTCGGGGAACGGCCCATTCCCGACGGTATATCCATGAACCCAGTAGCCTCGTGGCGTAGCCCCTTCCTTGGCGGGAATCTCCCTCCAACATTTGACGCCCCCAAATTCGGACCACCGGGGTCGCGATCGTTCCTTGCCCTGGATGGCGACAAGCCGGTAGTCGACGGCTGCGTATCTCTCCCAGGGGCTCAGCGACAACGTCACTTCCGTGCTTGGGGGCACGATCCTGCATACCAACGCGTCAACAGTTGGTAGGAATCGGTGGAGCAGCCTGTTGGAAAGTTCCTCCCTGTTCTCATATGGCCATATGAGCCCCGTCATGTCGTCGTGTGCGCCATATGTCGGTCTGGCCAAAGTGATTCTCAAAAACGCAAGGGCCGGGAAGATGGGCGACCCTGGCTGCTGATCGTTCCCTGTGCCGGCCTTCCGACCATGATCGGTGAGGAAGTCCGCCAAGGCCAGTTGGTGCGGATCCCACTCGAAGTGAAGCGACGCCATGTCCGATAACCTGGTTGTCGGGATTAGGTTGTGGAGGCTGTGCATAAGCGTCGCTGATTTGATGTATATCGTGTTGGTGCCAAACAATATGTGCGTGCCCTCGTTATAACTAGTATGTAAGAGATTGACCCTGGTTAGATGTTCGTGCGGCAGTCAAGTGGCAGTGAGTGGAGGGAACTTTTGAACTCACGCTTTCCGGCACGTCAGAAGCCATCCCAAGATGCCGATCTGGCACTTCTTGCCCGGCACCTTGCCCGGCCAGGCGTAGCAGTTTGCACACCCCATCAGGCAGTAGTCCATGTCCGCGTCAGAGTACTGTTCCCACGGGTAGTGGCACCATCTGCCGAAGGGGAGGGGGATGGCTTTTGGCGAGTTGCGATGGCAGACGCAGCCAAACCACCTCCATTCCTCCTCCTGGGATGTGTCGTACCGGCTGCCCTGGGCGGGGTTCTCTGCGTGTATCCTGGCATGAGAACTCGTGTGCTTACAGTGACCGTCACGGAGGATGAGGGGGTATCGGTAGCTGAGGTCCATGTGGACTGTCCGCTCCCCAAAGGCGATGACCTGGATCATCCGGCGGATCTCCCAGGGAAGCTGGGTGAAGAAGAGGTTGGCCTTGGGGTCCGCGCTCTCCCCGGGCGTGCTGGCGGTTGAAGACGCCCGCGAGACAGGCCGCCGCTTCCTGTGCTGCCTCCTGCGCTTACGGACCATGTTCTGGCTGGTGTTGTAGCGGCGCTTGAGGCTGCAGCGCGCGGCGCGCCAAGCGACTTCGGTCAGGGTTGCGGCCTGTCTGAGCTTCTCCATGGCGCGGTTGGGGATGTGGCTGATGATGGCGGTGCAGGCCATCTCTGGTCAGCTCGCAGTGAATGAGGCCGGCGAGGATGTCTGTCCTGGGCATCTCCGTGGCGTGACGTGGCCGGTCAGTCCATCTCAGGCGACAGTCGCTGGGAGAGCGCGTCTGTCTGCCAGGAGGAGGGGACAAAGGAGCGGTCTGAGTGGCGGATCGCGAGCTGGACAGACACAATGGATGGGCGAGTGACGACTGACGGGTGAAGCGACGTTGAAAGTGATGTGGCTGAATGATTATTGCCCCGCTGACAATTGAATAGAGGCTCAGCCATGAACATGACACATGCTGGAATTCAGAGAGCACGTGCCACGGCCTTCTGCTAATTAAAGGCTCAGCCATTATTGGGTGCTGACTCGCTGTGCCTCGACTCGTGTTTGGGCCTTTTGAGCCCTGGGCTTTGCCACTATTCTAACTAAGACGCCTTACATTATTATGTAAGTTTACTGGGAATTCGTGGACATGGTTAAATTCAACCTTTTTACGGGGGATTTATCCTTTAACCGCCATAACACGCTACTGACGGCGTGCCGAGGGAACTGACTCATGCGCGTGTGATTGGTTTCGGCAATTCCCATCTGTATCTCAATTGGGCCTCAATTCTTTTCTAGTTACATGTCAAGGGACAGATATTCTTTGGTCGTACCAGCTCAATCGGTGGACTTTATGTTCGGGCGAGGCGGTCTAGCTTTTGCGAAGGGTTGAAGCTCGCGAGTCAGAGAAATGAAAAGATACAATTGAAGTTAATGCCTGTAATGCAGTCCTAAGGGCAAGCGAAGCTACGTAGGAGAGGCAGGTAGGTTACTCTATATATCGATGGGTATTGGCTGTTGGATTTCGAAACAATCGGCGACTGGATGATATGAATAGACCTCGGATCGTCCAGTCTTTGATGATGCTATCGTGAGCTTCCGAGGAGGTACTTTGTGGTGTTATGAGGAAGGCGTTTTGTGGTTTTGTGAGAAAGGCGTTTCGTGGTGTGGCGAGGAAGTGTACTACGCACGCACGTATATTATGAACCTGATGAATACAATTAATAGTTACAGCCTCGAGCAAGCAGGTAATTTCGGTCCTATCTGCCGTGATACTAATGAATGCAATATACAGCCGCAGTGTCGAGCGGCCCTGAGCAGGTAGGTCAGGTCCTTTCTTGATCTCAGATACAGATGAATGGGATTAACAGCTGCAGCCTTGAGTAACCTTGAGAAGATAAGTCTGATCCTATCTGCAGCAATGCAGGCGAATATACTTAATAGCCATAACCTCGAGCAACCTCAAGCAGGTAAGTTAGAACCTATGCATGGTAAACCCCAGCTTCATTGGCTTTGCTTACTCCTATGATGGCCTGCCAGCATCAATGATCTCTTATTTCTGATGGCTGGGGTGCATAGGATCGAGGAGGGGTCTAAATTACCTGCTTAAGACTTGTAGCTATTGATTGTATTATCTGGATCGCGGTGGATAGGATCGAACCTACCTACTCAAAGCAGCCTGAGGCTGCAGCTGTTGATCGCATTTATCATTGTCATAGCAAATAGGATTTGACTTACTTGCTCAAGCCCGCTCGAGGCTATGACTGTTGATTTATTTACCTAGATCACGGTCAGCGGGATCAATGAGGGGTCTGGCTTATCTGCTAGAGGCTGCAGCTGTTGATCGTGTTCATAACGTTGAAGGTAGATAAGATCAAACGAGAAGACATAACAACATACGCGCGTACATACCGTACGGTGAGGGATGGGGGTTTGGAAATGCGTTAGGACATGCGTTTCGTGATGTGACATCTCTGAGTAGCTAGCAGTAGGTGTTAGTATCATTACAGTGATATACCTACACCAGATTTATATCCCGGCTCTCTCTGGCCTTTATTATCTTTCAAGAAATATCTTGGTCTTAAGTATAAGAGTGTTTCAACTGAGAATACCTATAAATATTACCAATAAATATCTAGCCATAAGAGGTATCTAACTATAGGAGATATCTGGTAAACTCTTGCCTACTTAGCTATGTGTTGTTATTGAAGACAACCGATCGCTATGGGCATGACCTAGCTGTCTCTCGTCATGACAAGTTATCGCAGCGAAGCTGGCCAGCCTTCTAAGAACTCTCCACTACTGTCTCTAAGATTTGCGTTCCAGACTCTTGCCAAGTACACAAGCTGTACCTATTCTCTCTTCGAAACTAACGAAGGAGCTCGTAATGTCCAGTATGCGTTGTGCATTCTTTCTGTTTGACCGAGGGTAAATTCCGTCCAGCTGTGTCACGTATGAGCGATGGGTGTTATCAGATTTTGTGAGCTTGAAACTTACCATCCTTCCTAAAAGACTGTCAGTTCAATTATTCTCCAGCAGAAATATCTCTTCTCGTACATCTTACGCAATTACCGAGACGCAAAACGCCTTTGAGAGTATAGTAGAAGGAAGAAGACTTACACCAGCGTAATCCATGTAGTTTGTAATCGGGTCCAGTCCTGGCTGATCAGGACACGAATCCCGGCCGACTGGGCATACGTTCAGTTCCCAGGTGGCCTCTTGAGGAGTGTCATCAATATAATCCTGTTCAGTGATCAGTTCTGGCCACTTTCTTATTTAGTCGTCGAAGCTAGCTTCACTTACTCCCGGACCAATGCAGTCATCCCCGTCAAAGGTGTGAAGCAGAGAAAACCAGTGCCCAACCTCGTGGACTGTGATTTCTCCTTTGTAGGTCTTTCCGCCAGACACGCCGCCCGGGACGGTATAAGCATTCATTGTACATCCGTCGAGCATAGTCACCAGAGGGCCCCCAGATGCATCGCCTGGCAGGGTGCAAGAACCACTCCCCCATGTCTGATCGTCCATATTAGTCACGTAGAACAAATTGAGGGTTCCATAGTCGCCTTTGCGCTGGGCAGCCTTGAAAGAGTTCCAACCGTTGTAGTCAAAGCCCTTAGAATTGTTGTCATCAACCATGCGGCTCGTGCTCTTTAGCGTAAAGGTGATGTTGTACGGAACAAAGCGGTCGGAGAGAACGTCAAACTGCGACTTCAGCACTGTTTCGCTCAACATCTCCTCCGAGTCCGTCGTGTTGACAACTGCGGTGACGTATACGGGGACATTTATCGTAGAACTGGAATTTCCACTCTGGCGACGGAGAAGAGAACTACCGGCGGTTTCTGCAACGCGCAACGCTTGAATTGCATCTCGGTGCTCCGAGGTTGGTGGTTTATTGCCACACCAATTGCTCGGCACGGCCAGGGCTGTGCCAATCAGAAGACCTAATATCAACATGTGAGCAAAATGGGTGCTGCTGGGGCCTAGGTATGCGTAGAGGCTTCCTTCCAGTATCGTTCGAAGAATAGGGCGGGGAAGGGTTTATATGTTGCGCAAACGTACGACGCCTATTAAAGTACCTATCGGCCATCATTTGACCTTCTCTACTTGGGGCAAGACACGTAATTTCACGCTTTGTTTACAGCTCGGCGATCCTACGGGTCAGCTTGAAGAGCAAGGATTGTAATAGTGAGCTTCTACAATGGGCCAAAGTGAAACGTGAGAACTTACTTTTAGCTGACTGTTTAGTAATTCATGGTCCAAGCTTCCTACCTGGGCTTTAAAGAGCTTTGAACCTGGGTTGCATCAATGGAAATAACATATTACTTTGGATGAAACTTATCCAACCGGAGCTCAGGTCTGGCTCTTACCTACGTTAGTTATATCCAGACCATACGAAGGTTTTATTATCTACCCAACAGTTTTAAGATATCTTATCTGATAGAATCTCAACCTAGGATATCTATCAATATTGCTAAGTGATATTTATTACTGAAGTGGTGAGAGAGGATGCTGGAGCACACACAACACCCACAACCACACAACACAAGGGTGTGTGGCACACAGCGGTTATCGTGTTAGTTGACAGCTTCATCGCCCGCAGTTGGATTCATCATACGAAGACCTTCCTCATCTCGAGCGATTGAAAGGATTGAGAAGAGAGGGATCTCCCACAAGGAAGCATTTGAAATACTCGTCGCAGCACCTCTTGAGAGCCGGCCTCAGTTGAACAGAGGCTTCGCGAGGCTTCGCGATTGAACAGTCAATTCACTTTGCAGTCACAGGTTAGGGTCTCAATTTAAATGAAGGAAAAAGCATGAACTCCTCTTGAGGCTGCGAAAAACAGCCCCTTTTGACCAGGCCGCTGAGCGGCATGACTTGCAAAACCCGGACTTTTCATCCCTTCCTCATTACCAACAGATATCTCTTCTAAATTGATATGGATCATAGAGGTGGGCAGATATCTCCTGCCAATAGTAGTGAAGCTGCCTAGCTGTCTTTTGTTATGACGAGCTGTAGCTGTAACTATGATCGAGCTGCCCCTCATCAAGACAAGCACTAGTTGTGAAGCTGACTAACTAGCCTGCCTGCGGTTGCGAGGAGCGATAGTTGCAGACCTGACCTAATTGTCTCTTGTCTTGGCAAGCAGTAGTTAAAGCTCTGGCCTAGCTATTGTAAAGAGAGACAGATAGGCCATGCCCGTAGCGATCGCTTGTCTTAACAGCAGACAGGTCGGGCGGGTCTACAACTAGAGTGAGATTCTTCAAAGAAAGTTAAAACAAAGATATCACGACCCAACAACTCAGCTAGCCCGAGGCTGCAGTCATACGGCAGAAAATTCTTTAAACCTTCATGCCGATAACTCACTTACCGTCAGGACGAGCTGCGCGTCAAATGACTACTAAAGCCGCCCCCCTTCACCTGGCTTCACACTTGTCTTCTCGGCAACCAACCCAGTGAGTTCCAGTAGCCCCTTGGCTAGATCACTGACACTGACACACCCGCAGCCATCGCAGTCTATCCCGACAATCGCGATCATAGCAAAAGACAAGATCCCAGCGGCCGGTGCCCCTGACAAGAAGGGAGGAAAAGATGTGAGGAAAGCAGGGTTTAGAACAGGTTAGCCTTTATAAAAAAAGCATTCTAACCTTTACACAATGAAATACAACACAGTGAGGGGTCGGGTCTACAACATTAGATAGGTAGGTCGGATTCACAGATAGAAAGCTAATTCAACACTACAGCTATTAGGGTCCTGAGTTCGATAAAAATTAGCTTGTAATATAATTGTTAGTTGCAATTATAGAACCTGATAGCTACTGTGTGGTTTTTCTGACCAAATATCTATCCTGATAGATATCTAAAATTATTACACTCCGGTCGGGCTGTAATATCTGGTGTGAATTGACATTTTGTCCAGGAATTTGAACCTTTCAATAGGCCCACCAGCAGTGACAGATGTCCGCGCTGTACTTCCTGTCCCTGACTTTGTCCAGAAACCACGCCCAACCCGTACGGTACGCATCCACTGTCGCGCCACCATCCGAGCTGAAAGGCTGACCTGCTTCCAACCGACCAGATGACCCACAAGTGGCTTTAAGCCATCGAATTTATTGCTTGGTCTTCTTACCGGTCACCGACTTGACCCTGTGCCCCGCGACGTTAGTATAATGAGGAATGTGGGAGGGGAGGTAAACATACGAAGGGAGTTTTCCATCCTGCTTTCGCACATAGTCCGGTTTGCAGAAGCAACCGTCGCCAACCTTCTGTCCCTCCTTGCAAGGACCGCAGTTATCGGTGCTGACTCTGCACTGCAGGGCCTTGGTGTGCGTACCGGCGCTACGGCAGGTTCCCAACGAGGGGGCCTGTCGCTACATGTCAGCCACGTCTTATTGGAAACCCACATTCAATTTGCTTTTTACTTACGCGAAGGAACAAGTCGCGTGCCTCAATGAAGCTGTCACGAGCCTCAAGGTAGTCCTCGCGGAGCTCTCGGACGATCATGATAGGGTCCTCGCCATCAAGCTCACGCTCGTAGAGCTCGCGCTCGAAGAGGGCACCAGATGCCAGAGCGGAGAAGGCAAAGACGGAGAAGATGGCCTTGGTAAAATGCATATTGGCGATTTTAAAGGGGGTGAGAGAAGAAAATAGAGATAAAGTTCCGGTTGGAGGAATGGAAATAATAAGTAGAAGAATTGATATAGAAGAATTGATGATGCTTTAAGAATGAGTTGCAGATGAAGAGAACAGCGAAAGGAGTCTATTTATCTATATTTTCACCAAGCTGGTTCTCTTCCAGCTTCCAATAATAAACCATTCTAATCCATAGATGCTAAAATCTTATCCCTTCAAGGATAGTACCTAGCTTCTGAATCCACAAGTAGGAAGCTCGGTGACAGGTACGCCCGGGGTACCTTCTGAATCCACAACGAGGGAGCGGCCTCAGCTGGGTAACAGATACTGCCGGGATCAAAATTTCACCCTGTAGGGCGCTCCAGGATACTGAGATATAACAGCCAAGATTATAGCTAAGATTCCATAGGAGAAGTTTAGCGCTGCTGATATCCTAGGACTGCTTCTGTAGTACAAGCGTGGTCCTTTAGCTGCTATCTAAACGGTTGACTATGAGTACCAGAGGGGAGTGCCTGCATGTCCCCTATTGTGCCTGCGTTAGCATAAACAGCTGGCTCGCTTCTCTTTGCGCTTTGGGCCTACCAAGCTGCTCATTAGTTAGCTAACTCAAATACCGTCTAATTAGGAGGCGAACACAAGTGCCGTTATTAATATCAACGCAGGGGTTGCCATGGCCACCCAGGTTTCGTCATGTCACTAGCTCTCGGATACATCTTTCCTACTTAGTCTATGCATTTCCTATTTAGTAAGATGTACCGAACTCCAATTAATTAGTCCATAGTGTGCAGGCATCCTCATCCTACGCACAAGGCAGCAGTTGAGAAGTGCCGCCCGTATTGCCGAGGGGCTAGACCACGCCGGGGCTGGATTACATAGCACACAATAGAGGTGCCATGCAGCGGGTCAATGAACACCTCGGTCTACCCTCGCTCTCGTCACAGGAGGCAGATGCTCTGCTGGCGGCTGTTCTCTGCTTGGCGATGCAATCAAGCCTCCTGAGTGACCTTACAGCATGGCCGATTACCTCACCATGTCGAGAGGTGGGAGCCTGATCGCCACTTCACTTTTCTGTACCCATCAAGAGGAGCATTATTATGAGATACTGAGCTTGATGGTCCAAGCATTCAAAGGATCATAGTACCATTCATGGGTTCAGATCCTCTGCTCTCACACAGTGGCCACTGGCTGTAAATGAGAATGAAAGCAATTTTGCCTCATTGGGTGAGTCGATGCGGTGGAGATATTTGGCACTGAAGGCAAGTTCCTCCAGATACCGCCAGAGACGAAACTAACACTCCATCAGCCTGGGAGCGCTTTCTTGACGTTTTCATGATGGCCATGTCCTTCTCACACGAAGACTTTTCGTCTTTGTCAGTCCCAGCAACCATGGAGCTAGGCTGCTGAGGATTCACACTTTTTTTGTCGAGTACGCTTCGTCACCAGGACGTTTGTATGACCCCGTCCCAGCACGCCGGGACGCAAAACGACAGGGACGCGCGTCATGTTGGCGCGCGGTATTACCGGTAGAAGTGCCGATTATTAGCTCCTGGAGTTCGCTGACCTCCTCGAAACTGTACCCTTGTTACTTGTGGAGTCCATGACAGATCTCATTACCGGCCGGGACAGTTGACAGGGTTTCTCACTCCTCCCGGCAGTCCTTCGGTATCCGGCTCGCGCGCGCTAAACACAGCGTAATGCGTATTCGACTCGGCTAAAAAACCACCCTCCCGCGGAGTTCCGCAGCAGCGATGACCTCACCTGCGTTTATTTTTATTGAGTGATGTGAGTTGTGCCAAGGAACATTATTAGCAAGCCTGAAGAAAAAAAAAGGTGTTGACCGACCAAACCACTTCAGGGGCTGTGCGGAGCTTCCAGCAGAGCTTTACCCCTTTATATGACGGTAGGTCACACGTTGATGGTTATTGGCTGCTGGATTTTGAAATAATCGGCGATTGGTCGATATAAAAATAGATCTCGGGTTGTCCCGTTGTCCTGTCTTTGATGATGCTATCGTGAGTTAGTGAGGAAGGTGTTTCGTGGTATGGCGAGGAAGTATTCTTTGTGCGCGCGCATGTTATTAACCATTTGAACACCAATCAATAGCCGTGGCCTCGAGCAGCCTCGAGCAGGTAGTTTCGATCCTATCCGCCGCGACACTGATGAATGCGATCGACAGCTGCAGCCTCAAGCGGCCTCAAGCAGGCAGGTCTGATCGTATCTACACCGACTTTTGCGAATAGAATCAACAGCTGTAGTCTTGGGCAAATATGACAGACCCCTCCTTGATCTCGCAGACCGCGATCCAGATAAATGCAGTCAATAGCCGCAGCTACAGGCAGGCAAATCAGACCCCTCCTCCATCCTATCCACCCCAGCCCTCATGAATACAATCAACAGCCGAGAATCCCGCCTTCGTCAACTTTACCTACCCCTTTGATAGCCTACCAGCATCAACTGTCTTGTATTCGTACAGCGGGCGCCTGATCGTAGAAGTCCCGGGCACCTTGGTTATCTATGAGCCCAGGATGCATCGTTTCGAGAGAAAGGCCTTGGTACAACGGGTAATATCACCGCCGGCGAGAGATGATTATTCGAATTCCCGGTCTCTTGGAACGATTCAATCTCATTTCCAGGCGCAGCTTCTAAAATTGGCTCTATAATGGGACGTTTCGGCATCACATGATTGCGATACTAACTTGCAATTGGTCAATTTGGAAACATCGACTACCTACTGGTCTGAGCGACGTCGCGACTTCGTAATCGCCATTGACTGTACTAGCTGCCTACGTACCGTAGCGAGTGGAATGCATTTTTGGAAAGGTGCTGCTGGGTGACAGTATTACAGTTAGATTTATTTCCCAATTGTGACCCTGTGGAGAATACACAATTGCTTGGAGACCCTAACGAATCTTGTGATATTACAGCTTATTGAGATCTCCAAACGTAGATACCTTTTAGCTACAATAGCTGTTAAGCCAATAATCGCATTTCAAACCCAATACCTTGCTGGCAAGAGCAATATTACAGCTAAGGCTACTGCTGTTACGGCTACCGTTGCGACTACGGCTACAACTACTGCTCGTCGCAACAGCAGACAGCCAGATGAGCAATCCAGTGATTTCTCGTCTTAGGGCCAGATACTCTCCCTCCGCTCAACGACCGCCAAATAGCATGACCTCGCACAAAACACCGATCTTTCCTAAGTTAGTATATGGATCATACACAAATTATGAGAGCTCTCCATCCTCTTATTAACCCCCTGTTTTTGAGGTATCCCGCTAGCAGGGGCCGCTTGGCTGCCTGCAACAGGCTTAATTACATTACCAAGGGATTTTACACATTCTGCTCCAAAACACACGAAATTTGGCGGCGGTTGATGGACCGCAAATATAAATAGGCGGCACCGCTAAACAGATAATATATAAGTACATTCCCCGCTGAAGTTAGTACCCAGGTATCTGTTTGGCGTCGCCAAAGACACTTTGGCGGACTTGAGTATCTGGCCCTTAACGGAAGACGTCATGCCTATAGCAAGCTTCCGTCATGACATGAGACAGACTGAACCGTAAGACAATACATAAGTCTATTCGCTCACCTCATTATAATCTGGGAGAATGCCGTACCAACAATAAAAAGGGTAGGAACTCATATTATAGGCCTAGGACAGATATCCTTAAACTACCTACCAAGGAGAAATGGAAAGACATTATGTTACTGCTTTGTTTAGGGTAGGTTAAGGGACTGCAATGATTAGGTAACACTTTTTATAAGACATGACCCCACTCTTTATGAACAAATTGAAGACGCTGGGCCAATCCAATCGCCCTTATCTCAAACCAGTAATATTCAATTCACATCCCGAACACTTGGACCTCAAGTCGTGCCGTGACAAAGATCCTTCGGTATTTTTGATGATGGCCACCCATGGCTACTGCTTCCAATCTGGGAACTGCGACTAGGTTCAGACGCATCACGCGCGCTTGTGACTTTTGTCATCGGCGTGGTCTCAAATGTCGCGCTGCAGCTGAGAGCCCAGCCAATGAGGGAACTCACTCCTGTCTGACCTGCGCCGAGGTTTGTCTGTCCTCTCTGCCCTCTCTCGGTTAACCGTCCTCCTCTTACTTACGATTCCAAACAACAGTATAGACAAGAATGTACGTGGAATAGACAGCCGAAGAAGCGAGGCACCAAGTCCCGAATCGCTACTCAGGCGCAGCAACAAGATGGTGCCCCCTTGCGCGCTGGGATTAGCCCCTTCAAGATCCTTGATTCGCCTGCAGTAAGCGTCGCAACCAATTCATCAATTGGAAGCCGAAAGATCATCACTGCCCTACTTGATGCCTACCTTGACAGCATCCATCCCATGTATGATCGGTCATCCCATGCCAACTTCGTATGCCCATACCTAGTAACATATTTTGCACTTTAGATTCCCATTCTTCTGCGAGCGCGAGATATGGGTTGGTTGGAGAGACGGCACGTTTCCCGCTGACGCCTCTGACTACATGAGTCTCATGTGCATGTGCGCTCTCAGTGCCCAGCACGTCGGAAGCGGCGCCCTTTTCAGCGACGATGTCCCGACCGTAGAGAGCTCTCTTCTCGCGCAGGAGTACCTTGCTGAGGCCGTCCGGCTCGTCCCACTGGATTTCAAAGGCCCGTGCATCAACCAAATCCGCTCATATGGGTATCTGTCGCTTCTTGGAGCCCAGACAGGGAATTACGGCATGGCGCACAAGTACCTCGGCCTTTACCATGGTATGTGCGCGCACTACAACCTGCACGACGAGTCACAATGGCCAACAGGCATTAGCGAGTGCGAGATTGAGGTCCGGAGGCGCCTCTGGTGGATCATGTACCGCCTCGAGGTGCACACCGCGTGCGTTCATGGAAGCGTCGTGCGCTGCTCCGAAGCCCAGTGCTTCGTTGGCTATCCTTCTGGTCTTCACCACCCTCCTTTCATTCCAGGGCGAGATGGGAAATATGAAGACTGGTTCAAGGGGTGGAATGCGACTACTGATCTCTATCGTGTCTTGGAGCACGTTATTACTGACTTTAGATCTCGCCGACGACCTCAATCATCCATCCTTGGAGCGGACCACGCGAAAGCGCCGGCAGTGTCTGTGAATGAGAAGCTGACCAAGATTCAAGAGGAAATTCTACCTCATTTTGGGTCTGCCTCATCACGGTCCTCCGATAGTGGCAGAAATAGATGCGGGTTTCAGGCGTCTAACATTCTCTGCACGATTCATTTGGCCAGAATGATATCAATATCTGGAGAGAGCAACTTTCATTCGGCATGCCAGACTGCACACGACATGGTAGCAAGTGTGAGCACGATCCCGATCGAGTACATCCGAGCTATTGGCTCTCCCCTCTTGCAACAGTTAGCGGGCGTCGGCCACATGCTGGCGGGCGTCGCGAGCAAACACCAGTTCTCACACGCCGATCGAGAACAATTCAGACTGGTCCTCACATCAATGATACAGTTCCTCTCGCAGCTGAAAGCACACAACAGCACCGCGGCAACGGAGGAGTTAAGGCTGGCAGCCCACCTAAGCGAGGCAGACAGGAATTGGTCATTGGCTAACGCTGAGACTCAGGGATTGGATGACGGCGCTACTTACGATAATTATGCGTGGCCGGATCATCTACAGACCTTGGTGGAAGAGATGAGTGACGATCGACTGTTTTTCTCCATGCACCTGGAAAGGAGCCTTGCATGGCCATTCGAGCCGCGAGATGAAGACGGGCCAGAACCTTAAAACATTTCAAATACAAACTAATTCTACTATATGCTTATGAGTTTACTCCTATTTTATTGTTACAAGTATTCGTCTTCTTCTGCTTGTTTGTCCGCCAGGCATAGTACTCCCCTCCCGTCATGATCGGATACTTCATCGGGTTGTCCTCACTCACACAAGTCGGAACAGGCTCGAGCAGCTTCTTCCGGTCGAATCCGAAAAAGAAAGGTGCAGAGTACCTTTCATGCCCACTCTTATTAATGACCCGGTGGATGGTGGAGACGAAAAAGTTGTTGGTCTGCCTCATGAAGGCATCGGCGATGTTGACCACAAAGGATCCCTCGATCGGCTCGGCCTTGATCCAGTTACCGGACTTGCTCAGCACCTCTAAGCCTCCAGACAGGTCTTGAGTGACAATGGTGAAGCACTCAACGTCCGTGTGAGCACCGATGCCGTTCTGGTCATCGACCGAGTGCTTCTGCTCTGGGTAGTGGAGAATTCTCATCCCAGCTTCGGGACGACGGACATATTCGTCAAAGAAATCTTCTGGAAGGTGAAGGGCGAGGGCAAAGATTCTAGTCAAGCGACGTGAGAGCTCGAGCAGCTTGGTGTGATATGCGTAGAGACCTTCACGGAAGCCCGGTAGGTCAGACGGCCAGATGCTGACCGATGGCTCGGCCTTATCGACTGCTTCGGGATCTTCCGAGGCATCGTAGGCCCAGTTGAATGCTTCGCTAAGATCTATATCGCACATTAGATGCCGTTTGCGTGAAAATAATGCAAGTTGTGGAAGAGATTGAAGGTCAAGACTTGCCTTGGTGTTTCCAGCCGTTTCGGTTATAGCACTCCATCGGGTGGAAGCCTACATACTCGTTCGGTACTAGACCGGTGAATACCTCCATCTTCTTCTCCTCGGGCAAGGCAAAGAATCTCTTGGCTTGATCGATAACCTCAATGGCATAGTCTTGGTCGATGCCCTATTAGGTTGCTCTGTTAGCTTGGATGTTGTGGTGCAGAGAGCATATAACTCACATGATTGATGAGGTAGAAAAAGCCAATGTTTCGTGATGCGTCCCGGATCTCTTCAGCCACAGCCTTCCTATCTTCCAGTTTGTCACTCCAAATGCGTGAAGCATCGATCACTGGAATCTTTTCCAGCTCCGTGGAAATGTTTGAGTTGAAGCTGAAAACATCACCGTTTTGCAGCTTCACTATCCGGACTTTGGTGTCTGCCCTCGTATCGACGATAGTCTGAGACATCTTGAGGACTAGAGTTTTGGCGAGATTGTATTGGCTGTGTGAGAAGGTATTTCTTATCAGGAGTCGTTGATCTAATTTGGATACTAGTCGTAGAGTATACGTACGGAGCAAGAGTATTTATCAACCTGCTCTCTACGCATCAGATACATAGTCACAAGGTACAATGCCTTATCGATAAAACGGCAGAACTGGTAAACTTAGAACCACTTAGTATATCGTTTCATGATTCGCCGAGCAAGAGATATGTGGATGGCTTGGGACCCTTGATAAGAGAGCGCGGCTTATCACAACTGGCACTAAAAACTGATAAACTGGACTGATAAACTGCTAAACTGCTCATTCCCGCACAACCCCGCAACTCACTGCCAAATCAGCGCACGCGGAATTGGTTTGCAACATGCATATCATTGAGTCAGGATTGTATCTGGGGTTGCTTATCTCAATCGGGTCCAGCACACCCAGATTGCCGGTTCTTATCACCTCAAAGACTTGGTACGCTAAGCTGGCAACTCCAGTTTGGCAACCCCCTCCATGTCAAGGCTCTTAATCCGCTTCTCCAAATATCATCAGAGAGGCATAAAATCAGAGGACTGCACTCTCTAAAAATGGACTGACCATCTGATATTCACCATTCTACTCTAACAACATTATCATAGTCACCATGGCGGAGGCTTCAACATCAACCTTCACCAGTCGCCTCCTTCGGCGACTGGAAGTTCAGAGGGACACGGATGCCGACGTGGACATCTATGTTAACAAGGATACTCGTCCGTTGCCTCCGTCCCGTCGACCTTACGGACCATGGGAGTTTGTAGGTCTTTGGATGGTCACCGGATCCTTCAACGTTGGTGGATGGACGACTGGCTCTTCACTCATTTCACTTGGGCTGAATGTCTGGGTATGTATCATGCGATTGGCAAACTTCGAGGCTTTATTAGACCGCATCTGACACGGAATTCAGCAATCAATGCTTGCCATTATTATTGCACACACCTTTGTCGGATTCGTTTGCATTGCGGGTGGTCACCCTGGTGCGAAGTGGCACATTGGCTTTCCCTTGTGGATGAAGCAGAACTGGGGTATCTGGGGATATTGGTTCCCAATGGTAAATTTGGCTACCAGTCTCCCTCCATAGGGGAAGTTTACTGACATTTGCTGCCCCAATAGGTTATCCGCGTGTTCCTTTCCTTTGTTTGGACAGCCACTAATACATGGTATGGTAGCCAATGCCTCAAAGTTCTTCTTAGCTGCATGTCGTCCGCGTTCCTCAAACTTGACACTCCATTAGCAAACGGGGCCATGAAAGCATATGACTTCGTCGCATTCATCGTCTACTTCATTCTTTGCCTCCCGTTGATCTGGTTCAGCCCCGAGAGATACAAGAAGCCATTCCTCGTCTCGTCAGTGACCGTCGCGACGACTGTCTTTGCGCTGTTAATCTGGGCCACCGTTCGCGCTGATGGCGGAGGAGCTCTTTTGGCAGACACTACCATCAGTGGTGTCAAGCCAGCCAAAGGCGGCGATCTGGGCTGGGCGTTTGTTGCTGCCATCACTGCGAACATTGGAGGCATTGCCACACACATGTGGTCTCAGTCCGACTACACACGATATGCCCGTAAACCAGGTGACCAGATCCTGGCTCAGCTTGTCATGGTTCCGCTTGGTACCATCATCGTGGCATGCATTGGTATCGTGTGCACCTCGTGTGCGGCGACTCTTTACCCTGAAGAGAAGAAGCTGCTCTGGCAACCGTATGCCTTCCTTGATGCCATCCGCAAGTACGAAGGCAATAGTGGTGCTAGTGCTGGTGTCGCGTTCGCCAGCATTGCATTCATGTTCTCTCAATTCGGCATGGTGGTCGCATCCAACTGCGTCGTTGCCGGTATCGATTTAGCAGCTCTGTTCCCTCGATGGTTCACTATCCGCCGGGGCGGCTACTTCACAATTGTCTTCGTCTTTGTCATGCAGCCGTGGTCATTGTTGAACAGCGCAACAAACTTCCTGACTGTCGTTGGAAGCTTCAACATCTTCTTGGGGCCCCTTATGGGCATCATGTTCGCCGACTACTTCCTCCTGCGTAAGACTACCATCAAGCTTACAGAGCTCTTCTCGAACTCGCCTGAGAGTATTTACTGGTACACCAAAGGCTGGAACTGGCGCGCTGCCGTCGCCTGGCCCATGGGCGTTTGGTTCCTCATGCCTGGCCTCGCCCAGCGTGCCGTGGACCCTACTGGGTTCTGGGCAGGGTGGACCAGACTTTATCAACTGTCATGGTTCCTGGGATGCTTGGTTTCAGGTGTTGTTTACATGGCTCTGGACTATTTCTGGCCCATGCCCGAGAAACTTGCTGTGGATGATCTTGACTATTTTGGGACCTTTGGAGATCCTCCTTCGTTTTTGGAAGCCAAATCCCCAGTTCCAGGCGCTACCATTGAAGAGAAAGTATCAGAGGAGAAGGGAGACAGGGTGTAATGCACCGTGCGGAGTGGCTGTTCACAACTTGCTGATTCCGGCTCTGAGAGTTTATCTTTGGTAGTATAAATTTAAATATATCGACTGTTTGATTCATAACCTGGAACTAGGAGGTTTAAGCATTTAACGATTATTTTGATTTATTGGATAGCCCGGCCTTGAATAAATTCGAATGATTGTTAACTTGGATTTGAGCATGTACGCTGATCCTTTGGCTCCTCAATGTTGCTCATGATTCTCACCCGCAGAGAAATGTGTATCTAACTCTCCCGGCCACTACACTTAATTTAAATACTTAAACCAATCTAGGCTAAACTCAGCACTTAATACAGTAGGGCCCGGATACCATTCAAGGTTGTTTTCAAGGTGATGCTTATGAATAAGCAAACTGATTCTGTACGTTTCTGGCATGGAACCATTCCAACACAAGCTAGACAACATGAACACAACACCCCACAATTCAACAGCTATTTCAGCAACTAATAGAACCTCAATAGTCAGCCTAGGAATCACGAGATCTCATGCTGACATGCACCATGCAGCTCAATAGCATCAAGACCCCTGTTCTCTAGCGTGTTCAGCTGACTGGGGCCGGAAGCTTCGTTTTGCCAATGCGAGAGCAGGAGAACCAACATCCCAAAAGTTCCAAGCCACAAAAATCGAACGTGAGAGTTCAAAACCTCCAGCTCTCCGAAATGAAGAACGTTACGGTCCCATTCTTGTATTCTCCAGTCGACACAGCGAACGGCGAAATCCGTCTTCTCACTCTGCACCCTGCTACGGACAAAGAGGCCTCCATTGTCTGTGACCTGGAGCGCGTCAGGTTGCGTGATAATCCGCAGTTTGAGGCTATATCATATACTTGGGGAGCTGAACACCCGTCCGTCCAGATAATCTTGAATGATAGCACATTCTACGTCCGAGAAAATGCAGCGGCGGCCCTTCGCCGCCTGCGACGGCGCAAAGGCTCTCGCCGCGTGTGGATCGATGCCATCTGCATCAACCAGGAGGAGGTCCCGGAGCGCGACCGGCAAATCACGGTGATGCAGCACATATTTGGGCAGGCCTCGCAGGTCATCATATGGCTGGGAGAGCCTACGGAGCAGGGCATCCTCGGGATAAGATACCTCCAGGGGAAGCTCATAAATGCGAGTCTCCGCCAGCTATGGCTTGAAGTGCACGGTGACGACATGAGGCCATCCTATACGACAAACATATCTACCGCGTTAGATAGAATGACGTACACTGATGACCAACTAGCCGGCGAAATTAGAGAACTGCTAGATCGGCCGTGGTGGAGGCGGACATGGGTTGTGCAAGAAGCCGTCCTTGCGCAGAAGCTTGTTGTCATGTGTGGAGAGGAAGTAGTGACTTGGGATATGATAAGAAAGCTGATTGATGGGCGGCGCATATCTCGACCGAATTTCGAGGTCATGGGAATTGTGCTTGATGAAACTGCTTTCCCTGATGGGTTATTTCGCTTCATTTCAGAGTATCGGCAAAGGTGGCATGATTCTGCGTCTGGAATCAATCTACTTGAGATATTGTATCGATGCCGAGCGCTTGAATGCTCTGAGCCGCAAGATAAGATCTTTGGATTACTAGGCATCGCACCATCTGCAAAAGCGATGGGTGTTGTTCCTGATAGCACAGCCTCCGCCCATGAGGTGTACCGAGACTTTGCATTGAAGTTCGCCCGAGGAAGCCAGTCATTGGATATTCTTAACTACGCCAGGGAGTGGCAAGGAGCACCGGGGAGATTTTCAAAACAGCAGGTGTATTCTCTGCTTGAGCAATCGAAGTATCATGATGTGAAGGCACAGATCGACGACGGCCCAGGAAAGAAGCCGAGGCAGTCATGGGCTAGACTCCCTGATGGATGGGAAAGAATACCTGGCAAGGTTCCGAAATTTCACAACTACAAGACGAACGAGACGTCTCAAAAGAGTCCCTTGGCTGGATCATTATCCCAGGCTGCATTGATAATGGAACGGCGAGAGCTGCCGACGAATTGGCAAAAGAAATGGGACAATTTGGGACGGGCCACGGTATCACATGAATTAGAGGGAGATAAGCCCGCTACGAAACTAGAAGGGAAGATCGCAGAATTACTGGCCGACTTGGCCAAGCTTCCTTCATGGGTTCCTAATTGGTATACTCCAACTGCCTGGGATCCAGAACCCCTCTTGGACTTCTCCTTCAGCCACCCACTATATTGGGCATCGGGAGATGAGATACCACATGTTCCTGTGGGACCATCGGAATGCGTGTTATCATTGAGCGGATTCGTCTTTGATGAAATCGAGTCTATTGCGCCGGCGTGGCATCCACAAAGTGAACAACCTGCTCTTTCCAGAAAAGGAAACGAAGTTTTGATTGGATGGGAAGAACACGCTTTGAGGCCGGTACAAGAATGTCCTTACAAAGACTCCAGCCGCGAGGAAGCTCTATGGCGCACAATGATTGCCGACTGGGCGGGTGCTCACGCCGCGCCAGAGAGCGATAGATACTACGTTGAAGTGTGGTATGATCGCAATGGCTGGGCGAGACAGGTGCCTGATGTCGTAAATATGGGGGTTTGGGAGGCAACTATGGAAGGAGTTTCACTTACCTTTCACGAGGTCGACATGCTGTCAGAATTCGCAACTTTCTGTTCTCGCGATGACGTGGAATATCCCTCATCCTCAACCGGTCTCAGGACTGACGGGGAACATGTAATTGTGAAACAGTATGGGGCCTATGTGAAACGTATCCAAAGGGCTTGCGCCCATCGAGCGCTCTTTGTGACAAGGAAGGGATATATTGGGTTGGCGCCATGGAATGCAAAAGAAGGTGATGTGGTGGCAGTGTTGGATGGAGGGAAGACACCATACATTTTGCGATCTGCTTCCGTGGACCAGTTCAAGCTAGTTGGGGAGTCATTCGTGTACGGAGTCATGGCTGGAGAAGCACTCCAACATAGGAAAGCTCTAGAAAAACCAGAAAGCCGGATTCAAATTGTATGAAATCTTCAGTTTGTGGCCTTTTCAGTTGGAATTCTGCCGTATACAAATACGTTCTCCGCACCAAGTTATCTAGACTACCTGAACTCATAAAAAAAACTTGAATAAAACGTGATGAGTTTGACTAGATACGAAGGTAAATGCCATTGCTACCTGTTGTAGAATTTTGGATCCCCCCACCACAAACCTGTAAAAGTAATTTGAATTTGCTTGGCCGCTTGATATATATCATGCAGCTAGCCAGAGCAGTAAAACCAATATGCCTCAGGGAGTAGCATCAATGTCCTCCATTGGGAGATCCTGTTCACGCTCTATCCACTCATCATATCTGAGAGGAGGTTTTGTGCCGCTTTGGAAGAAGAGATATCGTCTGACAAAATAGGGAAGTATCTCGGATAGCTGATACTTGGCGAACTTGCTCTTCGGTTGACCATAGACCTCGTCCAATTCCTCGAGACTAAACATGCGAGTCTCCTCAACAATGAAGAAAACGAGGACGAGCGCAACAAAATTCATTCCAGCGAAGAACCCGAGCAAGCCGGGTGTTTTAAATGCCTGCTTCATTGCGGGGATGATGATCGTGAGAATTCCGGCAAAGAATAGATTAGTTGCAATTGCTGCTGATGCGCCTGCCTCTCTATGAGAAAGAGGGAAACTAAATAATTCTCAAGTAAGCTATATGTTAGAGACAATACTAACGACTTTGACTAACCTTTCGGATGCCAAGGTGAACGGTATAGGACCTGTAGTGAATATCGGGTTAAAATAGACCTTCTAAGGCTTTGAAATTTGCATACCTAATCCAGGAGAGTACACAGCAACAAAAACTGTTATACGTAAGCTTAGTTGAGGAATATAAAATATCTGGGGGAAGTCTCACTTAATATCAATGAAATTCCTGCAGCCACGCGTGGCGAAACCACGGTGCTATCATCAAGGGGGAAGGCCCCGGCAGCTCCGGCTAGAAGTATACCCATGATTGGTAAAGTAGCAAGCAACCATGTTCTTCGACCAAAAGTATCTATTGTACGCATTGCCGGAAGGCAAAACAGGAAGTTTATTGCTCCTGTGTATCCGCACGATGTCAGAAAAAGAATTGAACGTGGGGAATCACGGCAAGACATACCAAAGCCAAAGCTATAGAGCATGGGTTTATCGATCGTCGAGTCTGTCCCATTGAAAACCACATCTAGTTATCAAGTCAATTTCTGAATTGCCTTCTGAGAGTAGAAGCCTTACTGGAGTAAAAGGCAAATACGTTGACTAGTATACAGTCAGAAGTTGCAAAAAATGATCGTTCAGGGGCTAAGGATACACTTACTTCCGCAAAGTTGTTGAGCCAATGCAACAGTTGAAGTACTCCAAACAGCATTTCTGAGCCTCCGTGTCTTGAAAAGAGTGCGATACTGATTTAGTGACAAACGGAGGACTACTCGGAGCTGGGAGGCATATGTAAGCCCTTGTTCTGGGCTACAAGATTCACCGGTGGATCCGTTGGACTCAGACAATCTCTTCAACTTTTCCGACCAGCGTATGAGAATTATATCTCTCAAGGCTTGAAGCTACTGACGTGTAAGTTTGGGATGTCTTTCAGTAATGGCGTCCAATATGAGGAAATGTTTCTCACTTTGGATTTTCTGATCCTTAACAAGATTTTCAGAGCCTGGTTTGGATCAAAGTTCGGCGATTCTTCTCTCATATAAAATCGTGAACTTTCGTAGCAGAAATACACTGAGATGAGAAGAGCCACACTAGCAACCAAAGGAGCGCCGAGAATGAGTTGAAGGGCCAGCCAGTGGTCGCTGTCGCCCGTTTCAATATCGCTTTGTTTGAGAAACAAGACGTTTGTGGCTTTTGCGATCACTAAGTTGGCCACAAAGCCTATCATGATGCCACAGGCGACCCTGTGAGTGGACAAAGGTTAGTTCTCTCGGTGTTGTTAAATCAGAGGCACAACATCGTCTGGAACGAACCACAACTGCCAGGTTATCAATATCGATCCCCTCCAATATCCGGTCGCAGTTTCCGCTGCTAGGATAGGCGCGCTGACGGCTTTAATCCCCATGCCTAACGACTTCGGTTAATGTGGAATTTCACTTAAGTAGATATTTATGTGAGCATTTAAGGAAAGAGGACAAAAAACTTACCTACTCCGCCAATAATTCTAACACCAAGAAGCTGAATCCAGTCATGACAAAAGGCCGACGATATAGAGCTCGCAATGATCAGCAAGGCAGATACAATCAACGCGCCTCGTCGGCCAATGTAGTAGTTTGTTGGAAGCGATATTGGGGCTCCGATAATGGCAGCAGCTAGGAAAGGGCTAGCATTCATTCCTCCAATTTCCCAATCCTTCTTCCGAGTTCCAATCTCATTTTCATCGCTGGTAGCGTCTAGCTTTAGGAGCGATTCAAAAAGCGACCCGGCGTTGATGGATGATTGCACATGTCCTTGAAGGAAGGCCGCCAGAGCGACCGTAAGGATGACGGGGAGGATTCCAGATTGGAAGAACACTTGCTCCCGCTCGGATTTCAGACTGTCCAACTCTTCCTGCGTGAAGCGACCTAGTGGAGGAAGTCTGGAACCCAATTTGGCAAGAATTATCGCTTTGTCCCATTCTTCCTGATTGATCTGGGAAGTTTGCGAGATAGGAAACAGCTGCTTCATGTCATCTCGAATGTCAGGATTCGATACACCACCTGAGCAATAGTCAACATGACTGTGGTCAATGGAATGGACAAAGAGGACCTTGCTACTTACGTAGGGGATCGGCGATGTCAATTCGGTCCAGATTCGTGCGATTTGCTGTAAAGGAGCGTGTTAATTCCCCGAAAGTCTTTCTATGATGCGGATTATGCTCTGAACTCTGGTCCTCCATGTTTGTTGCTATACTGTTTATTGCATAGACTGAACAGGTTGGTCGAGATGTATCGCATGACGCAGCAGTGAAGGCCTCACACGACTTAGGTGCCTGACCTGCAGCCTGAGATGTATATATAAGTATGTACTTTAGGCTGCCATAATATTGGCTAATGGAAACACAGCCTTAGGGGACACTTGTCAGCTGCACGCCTCAGTGATATGGTTACACCCAGGCAACTGTCTCCTCCCACACCTCCCTTGCCACCACCACTCGGTGTGACTGGCTGCCCTTTTCTAGGACGCATGAAAATGTAATTATACAGCAATCATTCTCCTGTCATCAGTTCATCATGTGGCGTTCAATAGTTCTAGTAGCTGAAACGAATATCATCTGCAGGGCCTCGACTCATACTGCCAGGGGCAATGTCTCACTGGCGGCACGTCTTAGACATTTCCCCAGGAACCACACACCAGCGCGGACACTTACCCTGCGGGGACCCAATGTACTCGTTCCACGTATTGAACGATTCTATGAGCTCGCGAATGCCTAGGGTCTCGTGTAGTTACTCTCCCGATATTGGTAAGGGAGACTGAAAGCCACATTGCTCGATCTTCGAGCGTGAAAGGGCGTAGGCTCAATTTCCCGAAGCCTGAATTTAGTAACACGCCGATGCTGTGTTCTGGTACTATGCGTGACCGCCTCATTTGAGTTTCCGAAAGTTCTTTTATGATTATTGGCAGCTCGTTCAGCCGCTCACTTGCATCTGACCCCTGCCCCAACCTCCGCAAGCTGAATGCGGGCTTTCGGAGATTGAACTGCTCTGATTGGGTCCGAACACTTTCGGCCATCAGCACGGCTCATTGCGACCTTGGTTTATTGAGGTCTAGTGACCCCTCTTCTGTTATTATTACACAAAAGTGCGTTTGCTGAGGCTTAGCCACGCGTTGTATGACGTTGTCGTCACCCCAACCACTGCCCGAGGACAGATGCCACCACCACCCCTTCTGGACGATTCCCATTTGGCTGCTCTGAGTCAATCTGCTCGAAGTGCTTTCCGATCCTCTCCCATTAATTAGTGTCCTGCTCCACAATATACGTGGGGAAAGCGCTTCCTTCCTTCATCCACCCATATCTTCCTCCATTCATGTGGTGCGTCTGTTCGAAGCCCTCTTCCAAGTATTCGCAACTTTTCTCAAGCAAATGGCCATATTGAACATATGGTCACTCAATCATACCGAGCCATAGGGTGCAATCCGGAAGCCCTCGTGGCGCCAGGCGCCCCTGAAGCAATGTCGGGTGTCGGAGAACTCGCCAATGCGATACAGATCATCACTGGTGCCGTTCACACTATTCGGCTGGTATACAAGGCCTACAACGCTATCAAAGACGTCGATCAACAGATAGATCACCTGATTTCGATCTGCAGTCTAGTAGAAAAACACCTGAGCGAGACCCGGAGTCTCCTCCTCCAACGACAAAAATCTCCAAATCAAGATGAAAAACGAATGGACTACTACATTTCAGTTGCCCGACTGGTAACAACAGTAGACAAAGATCTTAAGGATGTAGAAAGGAGTATCACACGCCCAGACCGATTGCCAAAGCCAAAACTACTTGCAAGATTGCTCCGTTCAAGGCCCTACAAGGCTACTGATCTCGCCCTTAATCTGAACGAGAATGCAATGAAGCGAATCGAAACAGCATCTGTCCATTTACAATGGGCAACTTCCAATCTGTAGGCTAAATCCCTCCCTCTTCACGCTCCTTCCTGTCTGTAGGATTACCTACTAATGATAAGATTTAGGTGGAGGTATGAGAGAGAAAGCCCTGGTGCTGTCGACCAGGATTACTTCAATGGCCTTCGAAATCTGAGCCAAAAATTTGGCAGCCGTACTTCGACTTTCAGTTCAGAATTCGAGGTCATGACGCCGAGCTTGGATATTTCCGATCCAAACTCCAAGGAAAGAGCAGAGGAATACCTAAGAGACATTGAACAGTTTAATGACTCAGCATTCAAAATTTTCAACGACGTTATAATTCGAACCTTGCATTCAGGCAGCCAAACTCCTGTTGAAGGCTGGGAACTATGTCCCGTTAGCGAACAGCCCGCCCTTGTCGAGCCTCCTCCGCTAGAAACCCACGTCACTCTAGAAGAGCTAGAGCTAAGGTTCAATGAGGCCAAGAAAATGGCAGAACTAGCTTTGGACCAAGAGTTCCCAGATGCGGCGGCAAACTACCATGCTGAAGCCATTAAGTGCTACAAAGAACTCTCCAAGGCTGGTGGGCCTAGTATTTCCGTCAAAACTAAGCTTGAGTCGGATTATATTGGTATTTTGATCAAATGCCTTCAAACTGGTCGACGAAGGGAGGGCATAAAGCGTTTACATGATCTTGCAGAGGAAGCAAAGAAATTGGAAACTGCCAAGCCGCGCCAACTTGACACTTCTGACCTTCACCGGCTGCGCCGAGATATCGGTGACCTTTATTTGAAATTGCAAATGTGGGAGCCTGCGGAACACTTCCTTCGTCTTGCAATTTTTGAGTCAACATTCTCGCAAAATTATCCAAGCAATAAAGAAGAGGCAAAATCTATTGCTTGGGGTATCATCCAAGCATACAAGCACAGCTCGCGTCTTGTTGAGGTGGGGGCTTTTAGAAAAATGCTTGTTAGCCATTTGAAGGACGACCCGACAGTAGAGCCCCAAGAATACCGTGATACCATTGCTTGGTGTCGAAAGAACAACTTCGATGTTGATGAAATGAGTACACCACCATGCTCAAACAAGGTGGACGCAGATGGAGATTTCCCTCTCCATAAAGCTGTCTGTGATCCAAATGTCAGCCTGGAAGTATTGAGGCAGCTGGCATCGGATAGGAATGCGATCAATGCCAGAGGGAAGAACAAAATGACCCCATTATTGATGGCAGTAGAAAGGGGGCGGCTTTCAGCTGTGCAAGTGCTACTTGAAGAAGGTGCCAATCTTGACCTCAGAACACCTGAAACAGACATGTTCGAAACTGTGCTTCACGTCTGCAAGGACGTACAGATTATGAGGCTTCTTCTGGAGAAAATCCAATCGCGAAGGCCTAGTGTGGCTCCGTCGGTAATCCCACACCAGAGTGAGAGTACAGAAGACCCACAGCGCATCGATATCAACTCACAAAGCCCGTATATTGGGACAGCACTTCATCACGCATGTGAGAGAGATGACTGGCCGATTGTGGAGGTCCTTCTTTTCTATGGTGCAGATCCAAATGCCGAGAACTACATTCGTGAGACTCCACTGATATTGACATGTTTCAACAAAGGAACACGAATCTCAACAAAGAAAATCGTGAGAGCACTACTGAATCACGGCGCCAACGTCGATCATAGAGATGATTATCAAAGACACGCTCGAGATGGCCTTGAGCAGAAACGGTTTACTCCATCAGATATTCGTAATTTATTACAACCTACGGGCTTGAGAAGCGGGAGCTCTAGTCTTCGGAGGGGGACTGAAACGGATTCAATGGCATCTGCGAGACATCTTTCTATCGACTCTCTCGGGTTGTTTTCTGAAGCTTCTCGTGATGGAAGTAGCAGTACTTAGAGAATGATATATTCACTATTGACTTAGAAAGGCCAGTTTAAATAGTGAACAAATAAAACGTTTAACATAATATCCTTCGCTGGATCATGTATGAGAAGTGATAGATAGGTAGTTGGTAAGTTGGGCTCGTCAGTCCAAAGCTCCAAGCCCTGTTCAGTTCTCATCTCTCGTCCATGTTATTCGGAATGTAGAAGATTATGGTAACTACTGAAATTAGGAAATCAAAAAAATCGCATTCCGTCGATTCCTCACTTACCCATACCTAAAGGACAAGCAATATTCATTGAAGCACATACTTCATGACACTTCTCTCTCCCGCCTCCCAACGCTCGATAGCTTTCCCATTCATGTACCTATTAATGTAAACATCGCCCACAAATCGATAAGTGCTACGAACCGCATCAGGCCTTAATAGAATGGGAGTTAAACAGCCCAAGGGCACGACGACCTGAGCACCAGGCTGCATAAACCCTGAGCCCATTCCAATCCGGCCATGCTCGGTAATACACAAGCTTCGCCCCATCATCTTATCACCGAATACTTTTTGTAAGTATTCCCTTCTATCCTTTGGTTCAACATCAACGGGAGCATCGAGATATTTCATCAAAGTTGGATCCCAAGGAAGGTATGGCAGCCGTTCATGAAGAAGGTTAGCAAAAACGCTATAGCATATGGGTAACCACTGCGAAGGCGTATATTGAGATGGAATCTGTTCCAGGCATATTGCCATCGCGAAATCCTCCTCCGCTCCTCGGATATATTCGTCCTTCTCATGGCCAACTTCACCCAGAAGAAGAGCTCTCCAGTGTAGAAAAGCCATGAGATAATCTCCCAAGTTGCAAAGAGTGCCAACTGCGACGCCTTTGATCTTGACCGAATCAAGTGGTATTGCTTCAATTTCTAACTTGTTCAAGCGCTGATCGAGGAGCTTACAGCGGGCCTCTGTGGAACCTGCTGCTGAGAACTTATACTTGTGGCCCATTGGTGTTGTCTGAGGGGCATGTGACCAGTCTGGGATGAATGAAGGTAGATCGGTAGAGCTGGTATGGACAGGAAAATGCACTGCCTCACAGATAACATCCAACCGCATCGTAGTCTTGATGAGAAACTCAACCACTTGTGTGTATAGATCCTTGGTGGACATATTGTAATCGGGAGGGAATTCGTTCCGCACCTCTTCGGGTAGGATTCCAAGAATGCCGAATATTTTGTCTCTTGGATCTGAAGCAAGCTTCCGTCTACAGGCACGCAGAATATCGAGAAAGGCTCTCTCTACATTCCCAATATAGCTTCGAAGATCTGGAAGACTGGCGGGGCCCTGGTAAATTAACACTTGATCATAGCTAAATTGGTCCGGTGAGATAGCTAAACGATTGCGGTTCATCTGAATGCTTTGGAAAGCCAACTCATGTCGATATTCAAAGAACAAATTCGATGCGAGCTGATATGACCGCCACGGAAGTTCTATAGACCCGCAGTAGACGATGACTTTCTTTGCGTTGAGCAGTTCCTGTACAACCCAGAGTCGCCTCCAGTAATCTCTGCTAAATAAAGATACAACACCAGCAAGATCACCATTACTCATTCCGGATGCTAAGAGCTGGGAGACCTGTTTTGGATATTGAGCTTGGCCACTCAATCTGTGAATAAAGTCCACGGCCTTTGCACTACCGTCACCTTCAGCGCCAAGCCAAACCGCTACCGAGTCGGCATTTGAGTAGATGGTGGGCATAAGCTGTATTTGCTCGGTCCGCTCGTCTCTGTTCCCTTGGTCGATACACAAGGCATCCGCCCATACCAGCACAGGTTCATTTTTTTGACGAAGAGCTTGGAGAGCCCCGTGGAGGCTGACCGAAATCGGGATAGAGTTTCCTCCGATATCAATTTTGCACGTGTCTCCTGGATCTCCCCAGGCGTAAGAGATGGCTACATATCGAGGTAGCTCTTCGAGAAGAACGTGAATGATCTCGCACTTGATCATAGTTCTCCTCTCAGGAAGTACTTTGATCAATCTTATGGACTTGTCATCCAGCGGCCTGTACTGATGGTTTCGATCACCAAGAGAAGAGGAGGAAGGTCTGGTCAGCTGGGGTTTGGGCCATTCGCTCTCGGCTAAGGATGGGGTCGACCGGTGCAAGTTTGGAGCTCTATCACTTTTAGAGCGCTGTAACCCAGTCAAAATATCTCCCTCAATTGCCCCAGTTCGTTGCCTGTAAGCCACAGGTGCGAATTCCGAATCGCTTTGTGGAGTCGGAGCGTCGGATCTGCGTGGCCATGGTGACTGGGAACCATCAGAGAGTCTTCGGCGACGTTCTGGAGGTGGAGGTGGCTGGGCAGATGGTTCTAAAACGGCAGGATATGATCTTCTAACCGTTCTAATATGCGTGTGGAGATTGCTCGGCTCAAGTGTTTCCCATGTTTCGCGATAGTCGTATTGCTCGCGGCCCTTCTCTTGAGGGTGTTCTGTTTGATATTCTTCGTCGAACGATAAGTGATTGATGTTGAGAGGAGAAGGGACTCGACATTCATTGCTGCGTTGCCTTATTCGATCATCAGGCTCGCCAGCGTCTCCGAAAGAGCTCGGTCTCCTTCTCCTTAGGATTCTGATCGGCCTCTTCGGAATTCGTCGTATTAGTTCCATAATTATTGGTGGGCCCCCGGTATACTTATCGTCCTCCGAATAGTAACCGTTCTTGCTCAAATCAAGATTCCGGGCTGGTACTGCAAGATACTCGAGTCCTGAAGCTCTGGGGCGTGTGTGGGTATGACCAAATCTTTATTCAGCCATCACGAGTAGGGCCTCATACGAAGACTTGTCGTAGTTTGACATGTACAACTATTAAGAAATATGCCTCTACTACCACGTCGTCTCTTATGGTCCAGTGTTGAGAGTGAAGCGTTCAAAGACCGAGTCATTCGGTGGAACATAATAGCTCAACATCGCATGATCTAGAATCAGGCTCCGTGCGGGGAATAAGTACAGAAATCAAAACGACCTAAATATGAACCAGAGTGCTCCTTAGTAATGTAGCAAGCTTATGTTGTCTTTGGTGGGTGAGGTAGGGTCAGCAATTCAGCCCATCAGATGCCTTGCAAGGCAGACATGGATTTCCAATATCATGCAATCATATACCCCGCTTTTGCTATGGCTTCTTCGTACTAGTTTATTGGTATGATATATCCACATTGCTCACAATTGTGTACGTTTGTGGTGGCTTTTGGGGTAGCTTCAGGGCTTATTTTGCATTGCATAGAATTTGAACCGTATAAACCGTAGCTCAGTTTTTGTACTGGACAGAGGTAAAGGTTTGAATATCTGAAATTAGTCCGTTATTACATAAAGAGCATGGCATGATAGATGAAGCTTTTTTTTTCTCGCCTGACTGAAGAGACAGAAGAACAACTTATGAGACTATTGCACGAAGAAAAAGCTCACGCTTCTCAATTTATTCAATAGCGGGCGGCAAGGTATCTGTCCTAAGCGACTTCCGTGATCTCAAGTTAAGCGAGGCCTATATCCTCACTGTATTTAGTAGTAGTGAGGCTGGAGAACGTAAAAAGACATATCGCGGCTTTGAAGAGGACAACTCGATCATTGCGCCCTACTCCCTCAGACAAACTTACTGATAATGGCAACACCGTTACATCAACATCAAGAAGGCCGGGTAAATGACCGTATTTACTTTATGTGCTGCGATCTTTCAATATAGGAAAACAAGAAAGAAAAAAAGGACGAAGAGCACTTTGGGAATGCCTGAGCCGTCACACTGCCATCATTACTTGAGATGAGGCCTCTCGCTACCACTTATGATTCTACTTGTATCATCTTAATCTCGTTGTTTTTTCGCGCGCTCTAACAAATCTCACCCCTGTTCGGCTGGTGTTATACTGCGTTCATATGAGATTCGCCGTTCAATATCGTCTTATTTAGCTACAGCACCACCTGCAGTTTGTCAAGGCCGGAGACCTAACTTCGTTGTCAGGTTTCCTGTGTCTACTTGCCCATAAACAAACCCTAGAGAACAGCTCGTGTTTCTCGCCCTCCCGCAATTACTCTTGTATGTCAACTCATCCGAATAATTGGTCATGATTACATATTTTCCAACCCACCATGCCCGAGGGTCTCGTTCCAACAGTCCTGATATGTGCATGGCCCCATCATTGTAATCGGCCCTCCCTAATCACCCGAGCGAGGGGGACGCAGGTTCAATTTACCCATGTGGCATGTTTAGGCACACATGACAGAGCAGATGCCCAAGGAGGTCCCACGAGGCCTTGAATACTCGCCGTATGGGTAATTTTGCGGGGAAGTCGTGTATGCTGGTCAACTTTAACAGCCATGAGCCCACCATTTCCCCACACCTTTCGTTGACTGATGTAACCAAGATGGTTGTATCGGCATAACTATAGCCCTTGGATCCGAGAATTCTTCAAACTGACAAAAGTACAGTCAATGATACGACGCGGCGGAGCTGAAAATCGGCATGTCATTGATAACTATCAAGATGTTGGGCCTAACGTATGATAGCGCGAATACGACCGAGATTCCGACTTGCCGAGTTTCTCAGACCCCAAAGTGTATAAGAAGCAATCTTTTTCCTATAAATCAACTGGTTGTTGGTCAGTTTCTCATCCTAGTACACTGGAAAGTCAGTTCTTTTGCTATATTCTGATTCTTTACATCATATCTTCGAAATGCATCAAGCACTTCTTACAGCGATAGGCATTGCGGTTCTGCCATTCGTCACTGGTATATAATCTTTCCTTTACAATATCCACGTTCTTCGATGTTTAACCTTCCGTCCCCGACCTCAACACTAACGAATGAGCAGCTGAAATCAGTTGGGATGAGGCCTACGCCAAAGCAAAGGCTGCCGTTGCCAAAATCTCCATCCCGGAGCAGGTTGGCCTCGCCACCGGACAAGGGCGAGGCACATGCGTAGGAAACAACTACCCCGTCGACTCCATCGGTTATCGTTCCCTATGCTTGAATGATGGACCCCTGGGCGTGAGCCGTGCCACCGCCGCTACCGCCTTCACACCGAGCATCCATGCCGCCTCAACCTGGGACAGGGAGCTCGTTCGTCAGCGCTCCCAATTCCACGGCGAGGAGGCCAAAGCCCTGGGCGTCCAGGTTCTGCTCGGTCCTGTTGCTGGCCCGATAGGTAAAATACCAGAGGCAGGTCGCAACTGGGAGGCATGGGGCTCTGATCCCTACCTCAACGGCGTCCATTCTGCCATCGCCATTCAAGAAATGCAGAGGACTGGCGTTCAGGCCTGTATCAAACACTATATTGGAAACGAACAAGAACTCAACCGTACTACTATGTCGAGTAATATCGATGATCGAACTATGCATGAAGTCTATCTCTGGCCATACTATGACGCTGTTCGTGCCGGGGCTACCTCCGTCATGTGCAGCTACAATAAGCTCGATGGTGTATGGGCATGCGAGAATGACCATATCCTCAACAAGCTCCTCAAGACAGAGCTGGGGTTCCCGGGATATGTCATGTCCGATTGGGGCGCGCACCATACCACCGTGCTGAGCGCCAACTCCGGTCTTGACATGTCCATGCCCGGATCCGCGTACAACAGCTCGAGTAACCTATGGGGCGGCAACTTGGAGCGCGCCATCCGGTGTGGAAAGGTCAAGAGGGAGCGTGTGGCGGATATGGCGCTCCGCATCCTCGCCGGATACTACAAGACAGGGCAAGATGGGGGATACCCTTCGGTTGACTTTACCCGCGATGTCCAGAGCAATCACGGCGAGAACGTTCGCAAGACAGCCCGCGATGGCACCGTCTTGCTCAAGAATGAAGGCAGTATCCTTCCTTTGAAATCACCAAAGAGCATCGCTGTGGTTGGCTCGGGCGCCACCACCGACGGCGCGGTTGGGATGGGCGGTGGCTCAGGAGCTGCCCGATACCCATACTTCATCGCCCCGATCGATGCCATTAGAGAAAAGGCAGCGACTTTCGGGGGCGAGGTGACGCAGAGCGAGACTGACGACCCGGAAGAGGGCGCCAGCGCAGCAAAGGACAAAGATGTGGCCTTTGTCTTTCTCACAAGCTTCGGAACAGAAGGCCGTGATCGGTCTAGTACGTTGGCGCCAGATGACAATGGGTATGATCTCGTCCAAGCGGTGGCAGAGGCCAGCGAGAATGTCATCGTCGTGGTACATGCCGTCGGGCCCATCATCCTGGCACCCATACTGGAGCTTCCCTCGGTCAAGTCGATCGTCTGGGGTGGACTTCCGTCGCAGGAGAGTGGCAACGCTCTGGTGGATGTTGTCTGGGGCGATGTGAACCCCAGCGGCAAGCTGGTGTATACCATTGCGAAAGATGCGGCTGACTATAACACGAGATCCCTACCTACAGATGATGACTTTAGTGAGGGTCTCTACATCGATTACCGCCACTTTGATAAGGAAGGCATCGACCCAGAGTATGAATTTGGATTTGGACTATGTATGTGTCGCCATCAGCAATTGCACATGAGCTTTCTAGGCTAACCTCGTTCCACCCACTAGCATACACTGAGTTCAAGTACTCCGACATTCAGATCAGCTCTCAGGCAAGGAGCGGTCCTGCCAGCGGTGAAATCGCCCCCGGAGGTCAGAGAGATCTTTGGGACGAGGTTGTCAAAGTCACTACCAAGATTACCAACGTGGGAAAGGTCGCTGGCGCAGAAGCCGCACAATTATATATTACCTTCCCGGAATCAACTGATACACCTCGGCAGCTGCGTGGCTTTGACAAGGTCTTTCTCAATCCCGATGCGTCAGGGACCGTGGCATTTTCTCTTTTGCGTAGGGATCTGAGTGTATGGGATGCGGAAAATCATGTATGGACCATCCCTAAGGGTAAGATTGTAGTGAATGTCGGAGCAAGCAGCAGGGATCTGAGGCTCGAGGGCGTTATCGAAATCGCTTAGGATAGTTTTCAATTGGTTGAATGGGAGTCATTGATACGCAGTTTTGGTGTTTCTGAACAAGAGATAATTACTCCCATCCTGCGTGAGTCATGTCGTGGTCTGCCTCGGCGCGCCGAGACGCGTTGATTCACGCATTTTATGTGTGGTGATTATTGCCGACTTCCAGACAGGTTGTCCAAAATTGATATCAAAAGGTCAAACTTCCAGTCTTGTTTAATATGACATCAGGTTGTGCAAACTTGGAGTTTTCCTAATGTTTTTAGCCATCACAGATTGTAAGTTTAATTGATGTTAAGATGGGTAACTACGACCATTGTTGTATGTCGTTTCAACACGAAAGTTATTGAACGGAAACGTGTCTGTGTAACCAATAAAACAAATGAGGTCTGAAGACCGGGTAGGCCAAAGTAAGTATGTGACTCGCATAGTAGACAATCACGACAGTCACTGTACCGAACTGTGTAGCTCTCGTATTAGCAAACTTGTTTTAGTCTGCGAGACAGCTTATTGAGACTGCATCTGGCCTTTTGATCTTGATGAATATGCTTCTTTCACTATGGCCGCACGATGTGTTCTGTTTTTAGTATTGGCGTTGAGGTTTGCCCATCTACATATTGTGTCTACTAGTATCAACGAGCACATAACGCGTGCTATTCTATACGTCAATACAGGGTTCACGGTCTCGCAGGCTGGTTGAGTGGCATGGGCAAACTGGCCAGGCAGTTGGAGTCGAGTCAAGAGTGGAAACAAGCTAAATGGGCAAACAACATCTCGGAACTCGGAACTACGGGCCAGAAAGCCATCCGGTTCACAATAGGAGAAAACCAAACTATAAATCGATTACTCACCGCCATCAAGACCGGGCCAGGCACGGGCGCTAAGCATGGCCACCACGTTGCGGGAAGGCATCAGTAGCGGCGGGCAGGCCTGTCGCGGATCTCTACCAGGAGCTTAGTCGGCTTCCAGAGAAAAGAGGCTCTGCGATCAAGCGGGCTAAGATCCCTCGAGAGACTAGAATGAGATCTTGAAGAGAAAAGACAGCAAGGATCGTCTCCCTCTCCTTGCATCGGACCCGATCTTGATGCGGTCGGACAAGCGTCACGGTCGTCCAAGCCCAAAATGGAGGTAACGCATGACTCAATGACCAGGAAGAATTGGAGAAAATTGGAGAAATAAGCTAGTGGATATTGGATTTCGCCAGATTCCAGGCATCATGAGGCTCGTTTCTTCCGCGGTTCGTCTCATTGCAATGTTCAGGCCGGAGACCGGAGATGATCGGAGCCCCATTCACAGTGGCAAGGCGGTGGGGGAAGCGTGTTGTGTTTAATTAAGTGTCCGATGGTCGGCCAATCTCTCCACTTTGACAGAAAAATTCTTCCTTGCCCTTGTTAGGGGTGTTTAGGGATGGGTTGAGACGAGTCGGCGCAGGTTGAGACCGTGCTAGGAATAGAGTCTGGCGATGTTTAGGAAGGTGGGATATGCCAAGCACGACACGGCCAGCTGGACTCGTGTCGCCGCCTGGAGAAGGCAAGATGACATGAGGAGAGAGTCGGGGAGCTGGCAGAAGCCGAGAAGCGTCTGAGGCATCGGGCAGGGTTGTGAGGAGATTGCGGGGTTTAGCGCGGGGCGCCAGCAGGGCCCCTCCCGGTTGCAGCGCACCATCCGCTGGGCCAGCGCCTGTGAGTGGCTGCAGCGGGCATTGTCCAGCGGGACTACTGCCAATTCTTCAAGCTGCTTCAGCGCACGACAAGCCACATGACGGACCGGTTCGTCGCGCTGAGCAAAGCCGAATGAATAAGCATCAGAGAAGAACATTAAAAAGTTCCATGGGCGAGGCCTCTCCTGGTCTAGCGGCTCGCCCTCCTCGGCCCGTCTTGGCATCTCTGCTTTCAACATGCTCCAGACTCGAGTCAAGAAGCTGTCAGCGAGGGAGGGATCACCCACGGCCCACGGCAAACAAGGTTCCCAGCTCGTCCCCCGGCCTCTGCTGCCCCAGCATCATTCTCATTGGTGCCCCCGATTCCGGCCTGGACGGACTTGCGGAGCCAGTGAGTAATAGTCGCCGCGTTATTTGGCTGGTCGGCCCATGTGGGAGCCAGGTGAGAGTGTAAATCTTTCTGCTCTGGGACCAGTCCAGCCGACGGGCAGCAGTATAAAGGGTGTCAGCGGCCTCGGGCAGTAATCTGCTGGTTCCCCGGATTTTCTCTGCGACATTCTCTTCCTCCTCGCAACCCCCAGCCCCCCTCTCGCGTCTCTCGTGCCCGAGGCGTGTTTATCGGTCGTCCGTTTGCTTGCTCGCCATCATGTCCAAGTTCCCCAACGAGAAGTCGTCCGGCGATGTCCAGTCCGAGGAGGCTGTCGGCGCGACTGTCGCTGCTCCCGTCGCCGAGGTCCAGTGCCCGCCGCACACCACCGAGCGCCGCCTCATGACCAGGATCGATCTCCACGTCGTGCCCTTCCTTTGTATCATGTACCTGCTGGCCTTTCTGGGTGAGTTTCTCTGCGCGTCTCTCATACGTCGGGAGCAAGTGTAATACTGACAGGCGGCAAAAGATCGTGTCAACATCTCCAACGCCAACGTCTTTGGCCTGTCGGCTGAGCTCGGACTCGAGAAGACGGAATTCAACACCGCGCTGGTCATCTTTTTCGTGCCATACATTCTTTTCGAGATCCCTTCCAACCTACTGTTGAAGAAGCTGCGCCCAAAGTGAGCCGGGAAATCCGAACCCTTCAATTGCTTACCACCCCGACAAATTGCTGACGGAAGATTCCAAAACAGTGTCTGGCTCTCCATCAATATGTTCGGCTTCGGCCTCGTCACCCTGCTACAGGGCCTCGTCAAGAACTACAGCGGCCTGCTCGCCACCCGCTTCTTCCTCGGCGTCTTCGAGACCGGCATGTTCCCAGGAGGTACGTCGAGCAGCGATTGGCAAACCGCGTCGCCTCCACTGACAGAGTCGCAGCGTTCTACCTGATCGGAATGTGGTACAAGCGCAGCGAGGCCCAGAGGCGCTACTCGTTCTTCTTCAACAGTACCACCCTGGCCGGTGCCTTCGGAGGCCTGCTCGCCGCCGCGATCGGAAAGATGGACGGGCTCCGGGGATACAAGGGATGGCGGTGGATCTTCATCCTCGAGGGCGGCCTCACCGTCATTGTCGCTGTCGCTCTGTACTTCCTCCTGCCCTGCTTCCCCGAGGAGACCAAGTGGCTCAACGCCGAGGAGAAGGAATACGTTACCACTCGTCTCCGAATCGACCAGGGCCAGTCCTCTTCTGGGCGCGACCGCAGCGTCGGGTGGAAGGACGTCGGAAACGTCTTCAAGGACTACAAGATCATCCTCGGAGGCTTCATGTACTTTGGCCTGATTGTCCCTGCCGTAAGTTCACATCAGCCCTCGCGCGAAGACTGGAATCTTGAGGGAATCCGAGACTAACACACCTCCGCAGTACAGCTACGCGTACTTCGCCCCGGGCATCATCCAAGGCTACGGGTACGGCTCCATCCAGACGCAGCTGCGCAGCGTCCCCCCCTGGGCCGTGGCCTTCGCCTTCTCCATGACCATCGCCGTCTTCTCCGACAAGCTGCGCCACCGCTTCGGCTTCGCCATCTTCGCCATCTGCATCGCCATCGCCGGCTTCGCCATCCTCATCTCCGTGCACGACAACACCTCGGTCCAGTACGCCGCCCTCTTCCTCGTCGCGTCCGGGGCGTACACGGCCATGCCCATCATCGTGTGCTGGTTCAACATGAACCTCGGCGGCCACCACCGCCGCTCCATCGGCTCCGCGTGGCAGGTCGGCTTCGGCAACATCGGCGGCATCATCGCCAGCTTCAGCTTCACCGACGCCGCCAAGCCCAAGTACATCCCCGGCTACAGCATCTGCATCTCCTTCACCGTGCTCAGCATGGTCGCGGTCGTGGCGTACGCTGCCGCGTGCATGCTGCAGAACAGGCAGAAGAGCCGGTCGGGCGACGACGGGCTCACGCAGGAGGAGAAGGAGGACCTTGGGGATCTGGCGCCGGGATACCGCTACCTCCTGTAATGTAGTTAGAAATAACGTACTCTAAACGTACTTTTAAAAAAATGGCAATTTTTGTAAAGCATGGGATTACTTACGCGAGTCAAATATGTGTGAATGAGAGGGGTTGTGTGAGTCAGTCATAGCGTTGCATTGTTGCATTGTTCTCCGCACTTGGCGACGACCTCAATCCTTCAAGGCACGCGAACCGTGTATAATTATCGTAGGGGTTCGAAATCGCGGCCACAACGCGCCCTTTCCGCAGCTCGAAGGGCTTCAGGACCAAGGCAGGTTGCGTAAGAAGGAAAAGCGAGAAGGAATTGCTGGGTTGGACAAAAGTCGGGGGGCCATGGAGTTAAATTGCATCGATCTCGGCATAGGCGGCAAGGTACGGCTAGCAAAGGCCCAGCAAACGTCTCTCCACCATGGGAACGTCGAATTGAACGCAAGGAAATCCTCATCCCGGGAATAATCCTTGACTGAAGATCTATTTCACTAGGAAAAATCGCTCATTTCTTCGTTGGGCATTGTGCTGTTGTGTTGCGATGGTGGTCGAGATTGAGGTCTCCCGGGCACTCTCCTTCTCTCCTTAGCTCGCAGTGCGAGTATAAAGGCGATTGTGTGTTGGTATAACGCATCAATTTCCATAATTCAGGCCTACGTAAGCTGAAACGCGCCTAATCAGAGAATGTGATCAAGTGCTGGGCTGTGTGATACATCGCTCCATGGCCGTGCGTGCGCCTTGAACAGGCGCTTTTGTTCATTATTTTCATAATTCCATTGTAGATTAGCGGTATAAAGCAGTATGCACTGGAATTTTAGGACCTGGGATGCTTGTGTTGGGGGATGCGTGGCGATATCAAATGCCTATTCTCCTCAGGGCAGCTAGTAGACTACAATGTAATGGCTGTTCAAGCACGACTTTCTTTGTATACGGGGAATCAAGGGGCATCCCTGCAGACCAGAAAGAGTACTGGGGAAATTACGCGAATTTGTCCAAGCCAATGGCGAGGGGCGACTCAGCCAATCCAACGCGTGCAGCGCGCGGAGGCAGCCACCAATCCCGTAACTGACCTAGAATTTGTTTGCTTTTTCTGGCGTTGCACAACCGAAGACAAAGAGCAGAAACGGGAAATGAAATGAAGAAGATATTTCCGTTACGCAAGAACAAGACGCGTAGTTCGCCAGATTCCAGGCTGTGCTGGCATCTATGTCATTTTTTTATATTACCTTGTTCTTTGGAGATTTCCCCCGTTTTTCGTGCGATAGTGTATTTTTCGTCTAAAAGAAAGAGCCCTGTCGCTCTGGATCTTATCCGCCAATATCTATAAAGTCGCAAATGCACGAGCACGGCTCCAACATGCCAGAACTGCCGCGCCACAATGCGTTCTCGTGACTGGGCGTCGTCTGGCAACATGAGTTCCAACTTAGACGAATAGTTTCTCCATATTCTAGTATTCGATAACTTTGTGAGCGTCTGTTTAGACGTAGTTTGGTCATTTGTGGCTTCATGATATTGCACCTGCAGACCCACCATGATCAATGAAAGTCTGTCTCCGAGCAGACTGCTCCCTTAGGCAGCTGGTTACACTACGACTGAACAATAGAACCTTCCGTTGTTTCTAAACTTATTTCTTCACGTTACAGTTGCAATCGAGTGCGTTGCCTCGGTGTTGAGGTGGTTACTGTGACTAACCTGCCTTGTTAGAGCTCTGTTTACAGCCTTAGACTTTGTTTGCCCTCGCTTGTATCGGCAGTTCTTGGACTGAGAGGTGAACTGCATTTCTCTACATTGAGTTTCTTAACAGCTCTTGTCGAACTATAAATTCTACCTTATCCTCGTCCCAATTCTTCACTTTTCCGACCTAACTCTTCACTCACTCATCCCAAGTTATCACTCCTTCTTCCAAGTTGTCACATCTACTCATCTTGATCACAAATCTCTACCTATCCTCGAGGCCTTCGATCGTTTAACTTCCCTGTTATCGTTCTCAGAAAGCAAAGCCCCTTACTGAGTCGTGGGCCAAAGTCTCAGCTATCATGGAACGTCCAAACGCCGGACCAGACCAAATCGGTGACGGGTCACAACACTACAGTCTTGAGCCACACACAGAAGAGCGGACCACGCAGTCGACAAACGCTAACCTCTTCGATGCTAACGATCACGAGATCTTTATCAACGCCTACACTTCCATGCCTAACCAGCAACTGGGGAACGGATGGAGCCTCCCTCAAAACATGTACCAGCACCAACCACGCTACATGGCCGGTCCTTCCAATGCGCCACCCACACCCTCGTTGCCTGTCGAACAACCCTTCTACAACCAATGTATCAACGGCCCTCCAGCTCCGGATACAACGCCGTACATCTTTCTCCCGCTTACTCCAAACGCCAACCCTAGTCCACGTTCAACACCTTGTCAAGTTGCGCAGAACCCACAGCTCAATCTAAACCCGGCATTGCAACATCCATCCTACGTATATGCCACCGCTATCCAGCCAGCAACGTCAAATGCAGGCTACTCAAGTCTCGGTGACCATGGATCACCAAGCGGCTTCTATCACCACGTTTCTCAGCCAAATCATCTGCAGGCACAGAGCGGCTTTTATCATGGTGTTGCTCAGCCAGGTCATCTGCCAGCACAGAGTGACTTTCCTCATGGTGTGACTCAACCAACTGATGTGCAAGCACAGAACAATGTCTATCAAGACGCTGCTCAGCCAAGTGCTCGGCGAGCACGAAAGCGTCGCCGACCTCGATCGCAGGAGCGTGGAACCGCCTCTCGTGGGAACCAGTACCCACGGCCTAACGCAGCCCAGGTCGAGGGCAGAGTGAATGATAGCAAGCGTCCACGAACTGGTCAGAGCCAGGCCATTCCTATCTGTGATCAGACCAGCCGCGATCCGACAAACGCAGGTGTGCCTGTGAGATTCCAAAAGTTTGAGGGTAAAATCAAGGAAACATTGTCGAAGCCCAACAAGCCTCCGGTCAGCCGAGAAAAGAAGTCCCGCATCAACGCACCAGAGGACTACGATGACCCCCAGCAGATCCATGACTGCGAATCCAAGAAGCTAGCAGTACCTGGAGGGTTGAAGTATTCGGGCCCAGGAGAGGCTTTCGCCAAGTTCCGAGAATGCAAGGCCTTGCTCCATAAGAAGGCCGAGAAGTGCACTTATCCATACAACGATGAGACGTTCCCACGCAATGATCCGGAGTGGTGTTTCTATGCCATGTTGCTCTACGACGCCATGGCCAACTGGGAGTCGTACCAGGAATGGATGAAATGCTTGCCCAAGGACCTTTGCAACAAAAAGCAGCAAGACCTCATTAAAAAGTGCAGAGAGCGCATGGAGCGACGTGTTGAGATCTTGCAGGCCCGAGAGTCCAACAATGCATCTGACGAGGCTGACGACGAAGAAGTCAATCGGCCACTCCTCGAGCTAGCCGATCTGCTGCCTACCCCTGAGGAGGCCAAGCATCTGCCATCTCTTGTGGAGCAACATGAAAAGGTCCTAGGGAAGAACAGCGTTTTGAACCAGGAGGCAGCTACCGGAGAATCTTGGCGGCTTCTCTATTATGCCTGGGAGGCTCAACAAGGTCGCACGGGTGCGCGTCCGGGGACCGGGAAGGATGGCACCTGGGAGTCGTATCCAAGCTTCTTGGATCGCCTCCTAGCTTTAGTTAACGTTGTTAGAACGACCAAACAGGTCGTTAAAGACCTTCTGACTCTAGGGGATGGGTCGGCCCAACACCTTGCAAACAACCCCTATGCGGCACAGGCCGGCAAGGGTGAAAACTTGAAGAATAACGTGGGGAAGAAATTCCCTAAGCCGAAGAAGAAGGCGGAGGCCACCGAGGAGGCCGAGGGGCCGGGCAAGAAGGCGAAGGCGCCCAAGTCCAAAAGCTCAACTTCCAACTCTCAACATCAAGGGGAAGCCGGAGAAATCGGCCTCCCGATTGTGGACGCTGACGACTCTCGTGTGGACCCAAGTCTAGAGAATGAGGGTGAGCCCAGCCGCGCTCTGCTGACTGCGGGTGATCATACCCAATTGGAGGCTCATCCCGAAGACAGCGCGGAGGCTGCAGTTCTGGAACACTTGAGATGGCTGTGAGGAGAGATGATTGGAGGCAAAGCATTCGGAAGGCGAAGGTTGTTTGAGTCGCTCACGCAATTAGTCGGAGTCGAGGAGTTGGTTAAAAAAAAGGAATTTGTTTTCACATACGACATTTGGAGAGTTTCAGGAATGTTGTACTTATAGTTGAGAGCACAGCTGCTTATATATGGCGACTCTGCTAGTCTAGTGAAAGTGTGGATCGCACTGAAGAGTTGACTGATACAGAATTGTATTGAGAAATGTTGAGTCATCCTAATCCTCCAACTGTGCTAAATTGTGATAAGTTCATTCCAACTCTCCAACCTTCCAGCCGTCGGTCGTCGAATGATTTGGTGAACCCGGACCTAGATCTAGCCGCGCTGAATAAACGCCTTGAACTGAAACACCCCACGGTGTGCCTAGTTCTAGTACCAGAGGCACTTATGTTCCTCCTATTATTGTACAGGTCTTTGGTGTTCTTGAGACAGAGAGCTGAAACCAACTCCAGCCTAGGGATGACAACACATCTTCTACCCAATCCAGATTGCCCGCTTAGTGTAGCCGTGTCGTGTTAATGGGAGGTGATTCAAAGATGAAGTCTCTTCTTCTGAGATTGTATTATGCTAACATCATAGATTGAATAGTTACAGTGCCATTTGTAGCTGACGCGACTCTATTTCATTCTTCTGAGCCATCGCGTCATAAACTTGGGTCAGTCTACCGCAATCATCTAACGACAGCATTATAAACAAGTTCTACCTGGCTTAGGTCTCTAAAATAATAATTCCTGATGTCTCATATCCGCTCCTGCAAAAAGGTCTTATGCCATCTTTCGACTTTAAGAAATTGAAATGTCGTTGCAGGCACGGTGAGTGAACTTGGAGTGGTAGTAACAGGGAGAAACGCAACAGATTTACTAATTATTGTTAAATTTAGGAAATCCATTGAGTTAAGACACAACTAGTCGATACACGACATAATCCCCGGGGTGAATAGCTCATAATTACAAACAGTCTTCACTTCTTAGGTGAGGAATGTCTTTCGCTATAGGGTAGTAGGGCCAAGCTCAAGTAATCGGACAGACCGTCAAGCTCAACAGAGCACTCAATTTGAACGCTTCTGGGGACCTGCGTTAGTGCCCCCACCCGCTAATCCACCCGCTAAATGAACTGAATTGAATCATCGCAGAGCCGCATTGGCATGGAGTTTAACGCTGGAGTAGAAAGTTCATCACACCGCGCAAGAGTGTCCCGTCTTGGACCTCTAGTGCCGCTCAATCTCTCGTCATTTGTTTCAAGAATACGATCGTATGCTGACGGCCAGATGAGTAACTTCCAGACCGCATGAATCAGATGTTCACTGCCTGGAAGCGCAATCTCATTACGTACTGAAGCCCACTTGGCCTCGCCGCCTGGCCAAACCCTCGGCATGACGTGCTTTTAGACTTGCAGCACGTCTTCGGGAACCAGCGAGTCCGGCCGGCAGCTCAACCGGTCCCCCCGACACCCGCTGCCATCACATCCGTTGACATTGATCGAGATTTTAGTTTTGCTAGATAGGTATTATCAATATGTATTATGGGAATATTCTATGAAGCATATATTCTCTATACCGACAGGCTCTCTATCCAAATAGAAACTAAACTCCTCGACCCCTTCTATCGCTTCAATTAACGGAGGTAGGTATCTCTACTCCACCAGCGGCTTGCGCACAAACACCCTCCTCTCCCACCCATCAATATCGTCCACCACCATCTCCTGCTCCAGCCTGTACTTGCCAAAGTAGGGCATGAGCTTGGTCCAGATGACCCAGTAGACGCCACCGAGACCAATGACGCCCCAGGCAACCACGTTGTGCGTCCAGTACGGCATGCTCTTGTAGATGTTCTGGCCGTCCTCGGGCGGCGCGTAGGGCGCGAAGACGAGGAACAGGTTGCTGATGAGGAAGAAGGCCACGACGGGGAGCGTGGCGCTGACGGGCGGGTTCCAGCCCCATTTGGCGCGGTTGACGTAGAGGTAGATGAGGCCGATGGCGACGAAGGTGTTGACGATGGCGAGGGGGTACGAGATGAGGCTGGACTCTGTTAGTTAATGGAACAATGACATGGAGCAGTGCCAACTTACTTGATGACGAAATTGTAAGCATCACCGGTGGGAGGGGCGATGATGGTGATGACGGTGACGAGCCAGTGCTCCATCAGACCGGGCAGAGGGGCGTTGAAGGGACGGTTGCTGGCCCAGAATCGCGAAAAGGGGAGGACGCCCTCGCGACCGAGCTCCTGGATGAGACGACCCTGGGAGAAGATGACACTGAGGACGTTTCCGAAAGCAGAGAGAGCGACGAAGACGCAGAGGGCACGCTCGGCCGACTCGCCAAACATGTTGCGGAAGAGCGAGGCAGCGACAAGGCGCTCGCTGGTCAGGATCTCCTCCTTGGGGACACCGACGAAGTAGGAGATGTTGGCGAGGATGTACAGGATTCCAACACCCAGAATGGCGAGCGGGGCCGAGATCTTGAGGGTGCGGATGGGGTTCTTCATCTCGCTCAGGGCGTAGTTGGCGTTGCTGTAGCCGACATAGCTCCAGATGACGTTGTTGAGGGAGGTGACAATTCCGTAGGCGCTGCCGGTGGTGCCCTCAAAGGCCTTGTGCCTTGACAGGGTGTCGGTTGTCTTGTCCAGGCGGACGAGAGGAGCGATGATAATGATGAGGAGGATGATGATCTTGATGGATCCAAGCAGGTTCTGGAGGCGGATTCCCCATTTCAGGACCGTGCCGTGGATCAAGAAGGCGGCGGTGACGACACCCAGACCGATGCCTCGCTGGTTCCAGGTGGTGGGTTCAACGCGGGCTGCGAGAAGGATGTATTCTCCAAAGACGATACTGTTACCGGCGCACCAACCAAGCAGGACGCAGTAACTTCCGTAGAGACACGTGGTGAGGAACTTGGGCTTGCGGAAGACGTATTCGAGGATGTTCTTTTCACCACCATTACGAGGGATACCTGCATGATGATTCGTTAGCCCTGCAGAGTATGGCATCATCTCGATGGGACATACCAGTTCCGAATTCAATGTAAACGGCAGTACCCGCTGCGGCAACAATGGTGCCGATCACCCACATGATCATGGACAGACCAGCCGAGCCGCTCAGGCTGAAAATGGCACTGGGCGTAGCGAAGATACCCGTTCCCACCATGCGGTTTAGGATGAGGAAGCTCGCGCCGGCGATGCCAATTGTGCGCTTGTTCTCACGGGCCTGCTCCAGATGGCCTAGATAATAATCGTCAGCATATCAACCAACTCAATGACCTGGTGTAATAGCTACCCTCTTCGGAGTCAAACCCGGCCGGGCGAGGCCCAGGCGAGTCCTCCTTGTCATCCTTCTTGGACTGGAATACTCTCTCGACGAGACTCATGGTGGATACGTGCTAGGGAAGCAAACCACTTGACAATACACAAACAGTCTTCCCCTCGTAGGCAAGAGTGGATGAGTAGATCCCACCTGGAGACGGTGGAGGAAGTGTCGAAGCTTTATACATAACAGCTGTTTTGCCCCTCGCCCATGCTTGACTGGCGTGACTGATTCAAATCAAAGTTCCCGCGGTGGAGCAAGGCTCTTTCGCGACTAACAGAAACTTCCTCCACGGGCTGGTGGCGTGGGTCTTCTGGGTCCCGGCTCGTCGACGGAAAGATTTGTGCATGCGTAGAAGGGCCGTGGAAGCTCGGCCAGGGCGCCAGTGTGTGTGAGCAGGGCGGGTCCAGCCGACGCCAAGTGGATGGTGACATGCCTCAGGGTTGTTTCTGGCAGATTTTTTACGTTTCTTTTTGCTCCTTTGCCCCTGTAATGAGGCAGCTTCTGTACGTACAGGACGGTCATACGTGGCTGCTTATTGCCATTGATCTGAATAGGAGAAGCTTATTATGCCTCAGGTTTAAGATGAGTGAAGGCATTGGAATGCAGTCGTAGTTTGTCTCGCCAAATGACTGAGTTTTCACGCTCCTCGCCGGGTTCCCATGCCGTATGCCGTATGAGCTGCTCCCCGTCAGCAAAAATCAGACGACGAAATCGCGTCTACTAGAATTGAGTGCTTTCAGTCACGGCGCCGAAGGTAAGCGCTTCAAACCAGCTGTTCAAATCCAGGGATCCGTGGCAGAGGATCGAGTCTATGTGTCATGCTTTGCGGTTTGTGGACGACCGGGACGATGACGCGATCGGCTTCCATCGAGGTGGAAATCCAATGAGAATCCACCGACATGGTAACACTGCGGGTCTTTCTTAGCGGACATCTGCGAACACCCTCGAGATTGGCTGTTGCTCGACCTCGATCACTTGCAAAAGGGCCGCCCATCCCTGTATGTAGGCGGCGAAGAGGACGAGAAGCGTGATTGCGGCTCGTCCGGGCGTATTATGGCCTCCTAATTGATGCGGGAGATACATTGGAGAGCTGGTCTTCCGATTTCGTATACTGGACCCGGCGAGGCTCATCATCCAAGGCGTGATTAATGAACGCCTTCGTTTCTATAGGACCTGAGTTTCGGCCCAAGCCATCGATTGATAATAGCTTTCTTCTTGCAGTGCCAACTAGCACAAGTCCTCCCGCATTTGAAACAGTACATGATTTTCAGTGTGGCTAGTGGCGGAGTAAGCGACCAAAATGATCAGCGCTATGCGGTTGCGCCATAGTTGCCCGTATCGCGATATCGACTTGAGAGTGCACAGATACATCGTTTACCTAACTGAATTTTCCAAGACACCCAATTGAAGGAAGATTAAGTTGTCTCATCCCTCGTGAGCATGCATCTAACACATGTTTTCTGCATGGGGTCTCACACCTCGCTCACACCCGGCAGGAGTATTAGCCTTCTTGGGGGCCCAGCACCGATGCATTGCCTGGGAAGAGCTTGACTCGGACCATTATGCCACTCTTCATCGTGCATGTGTAACATGTGTTTGCCTCGATAGCCGGATTCCCCGGCTCTTGCCGTGTGTGCCCACGATGAGCACACCACCCTTGCC